CAGATCATGGGGGGCAGGGGACTGGTGAGATTTGGGGGTGAGCAAGATTCTGAGGTGAAGAGACGTAAGTCCAAGCCCCACATTTGTAGCTGTCCGTACTCTTCCAAGACGAAGGTGTTATCTAGTAAAATCATTAACAGGAGTTCAGGTACCAGGGGAACACAGCCAAGCCAGGCCTGTCACAGACCACCTCCCAAGGTCCTCTGTGCTGCACTGGCAGCACACACTGTTTATTTTTAATACATATACAATATTTTTATTAATTTGTTGAGAATTTTATACATGCATAAAATATATGTTGATCAGATTCACCTCCCACTCTTCTGCTTAATTCCTTCCAGATACCCTCCCTACCTCTACCTCTCCTTTTTTTTTTCCTTTTTTTTAATAGCCTACTGATACCAGGGGCAGAAGGCCTACCAGGGGTCATACTCCTAAAGAAAACTGACTCTCTCATGACCACCAGCTGTCAAAAGCTCCTCAGCAAGGGTTGGGGTTCATGATCCCTCCCCAGTGCCTGGATGTTGGCTGCCTTCTTATACAGGTCTTTCACAGGCAACTGCAGCTGCCGTGTGGAGTGCAGGTGTCATGTGCAAAAGGCATCGTCTGGCCCTATCCTCCCAGACTTCTTCCACAGATCCTTGAATCTTGTGGGGTGTGGGCATGACAGTTGTCCCATGTATTCTCTGCACTTCGACTGGCTCTACCCTGAGTGGTGACAGCGCACAAAGCTACTTTTCTGGTGAGGTCTCAGAGCTGCATTCAGCCTTTCACGACACAAACCCGGAAGGCTCCGGGATGCCTCTTCCCACCAGCTGCATACTCTGGAAAAACTAAAATCTTTCCCTGAAGCAGCCTGAGGTCTGGAGAGAGAGAGGCTGCTCTCTAGAGCAGGATCAAAGAGAGTTGCCCAATGATTGATCCCCAGGTCCGATTCCAAAAATCAGGAGTCCAGTTGGAAGAACATAGCTTAGATCTGGATATGAGCCAAGAGGTGAGAGGGAGGACACACATGGCTGTGAGTTGAGAGCAGGCCAGAGCAGATGAGTCCAAGCAGGGGACTACCCCGGCACTGGCCAGAGGACAGCCCTGGGTGCCAGCCTTCACCTTCCACCTTTTTGGGAATCACTTACTGATTTCGCAGCCATGCAAGCCAAGCTCAATGACTCACTAGCGTCCAGGTGTTCTCCCATCCCCACCTCCCTTTCTACAAAACTACCAGGATTATAGATGTGTGCTATTGTGCCTGACTCTCTATAGGTGCCGGGGATTTGAACCCAGGTCCTTATGTTTTCACAGCAAGTGTAATGCCCTCTAGCGTTGCAGGAACAGTTTTTGGGTTTTTTTTTTTTTGGGGGGGGGTGCTTTTTTGGTGGGGGATTGGGTTTTTTTTTTCCCTGTTTAAAAATTTAAAAGGCAGGGAACAAATGCTACTAGCGATCTCGGGGTGTTCCTGAAGAGTCATTATATGATAACAAAAAATTGGCTCCCCATCATGTTTTTTGTTTTGTTTGTTTTTTGTTTTTTGTTTTTTGTTTTTTGTTTTTGTCCCAATAATAAAAGTGTGGTTGTTTGGGTGAGAAATATCTCCCATAGTCGCAGACATTTGAATATTTTGCCCTCTCTTGGTGGGATCCTTTGAGGAGGTTTAGGAGGTGTGGCCTTGCTGGAGGAAGTATGTCACTGGGGATGGGCTTTGGGGATTTAAGGCCTCACCCCATTTGCCATTTGCAAGTTTCTTTGGTACTTGTGGTTCAAGATGTGAACTCTGTTTCTGCCCCAGCTGCTGTGTCCTCCTGCCACCTCTGCCCGCCACCATGGATTATAACCCTCTGGAGCCATAACCCAAAATGAGTGCTTTTATGTCAGGCTGTTTTATCACAGTAAAGAAAAGTGACTAATAAACAGAAACTCAGGGTAAAACAACAGGCGCAAGCAGATTAAGGACAATTTATTAGCATTTCAAAGAAAATTCCCAGGCCCTGCTAGCTGTCAGTCTCAAAGCTGGGTTGAGGAGAACGGAAAAGCCAAGCTGGCATGAAGGTCAGCCACATGATAGCAGGCAGTCACACGATGCAAAGGAGAACTTTAGAAAAGGAGTAAGCAAGTCCAGAGCTTTAGGGAGTTAAAGAGACATCATTACGCTCTTGCCAGTATCCAAAAGAAAGGGGAAAAGTTACTGACTCAGAGAGGTGGGCAGACCAGCGGGTGTTGCCCAGAAACTGCCACCTCCAGAGCCACCTGGAACACTGTGGACACCCTGTCCTAACCAATTGCTTCCCTAACAGCATGCAAAAACATGTGCAGAGCTTTCTAAGCCAAGACCGTAGCCTCCAGCTCCGCCAGCTGGCGCCTCCTCTCAGGAACATTGTCTCTTCCACAGCTCCTTTCCCTCCTCTGCGGCTGTTCCTGGGTCCTGGTCCGAAAGAGTGGTGGGAAGACACAGGGCCTCATCTGACGAAACTCTAACTCCATCCTAGGCTCAATCACATAGAATTTTTCTAACTGGAGTTCTGAGACAAGCCTAACTAGGGGAAGAGAGACCACCTTCTCTAACTTTGATAAAGTCTAAGCGTGCCTCATATTGAAACTGGACATAACAACATATTTCTTTACAGAACCCTTGGCTTTATTTTATTATCATTATTACCTCCTCATTTCACTGTATTATTATAATCATCCTTGTATTGGAAGAAATCTTAATGTACTTAAAGGTAAGTGTGTCAAATTACCGTTTTACCATAACATCTTTCTTTTATGTGAGGATGGATGCCACATATAATATTCACTATTCTGTATTATCTTCATTTAAGTTTTGAGGAGAAAACTGTTTCAAGCTATTACTAGCATATAGTAGGACTCATACATGTGATTTCTGAATAACACACAGATTGTGTGGTTTTTATCAGGATGACTTATGACACTGGACACTTATTTATATTGATGTTTTCTCACATACAGATTGAAAGACATATTAAGGTTTTGAGAATATTAAACAAGGGCTAAAGCAACACTTCCTGTTACACAGCCGGCACTGAGCTTGTTTGTCACTGTTACTCTGTAACAGAATAAAGACATAGTTTGGGTCCCTTTCCCACATTCATCAGAAAATTACATGTTTGTAAACCTCCACTGTACGTTCCCTGGACCTTGACAATCTCTTACAGAAGATGTGAGCATGTGGCGTTGGGTTAGAAACTCCAAAAACCTGAGGTTTTCCATTCTTCAGCTATGTGATCTTTGTTACACAAGCTGGCCTCTCTGGACCTCAAAGAAAAGGTATGCCTGTAAAGATTGCTGGATGGCTACGCTATATGTCTCACTCTGCGTTCTGCAAAAACAGTTCCTGATATGAGATGTCAAATTCAAATAGTTTATTTGGATGTTATTCAAACATAAGTCTCAATTGCCAGGTGTCTCTTTGGGAAAGAATTCCTGGAAACCAGGAAAATCAGAGAAGAAGAGGAGGCAGGAGGTAAAGACAGCCGTGGAAGGAAGTCTGCACAGAGGCAGTCAAGGCTCAGACATGGTGAAGAGCTCTGAAAAACAGAGAGCACATATATGCATTCCAGAGTCATGCTCCCCAGAGTGAAAGAGATGGAGGATTATCCATCCATACACATGGGCCTGCGCTACTTTAAAGGCCAGTGTTTCTCTGGAGTGTGTGATCTTCATCACAGAAGTCAGGGCTCAGGGTCAGGGAGCTCATAACAGCTCCAGCCATGAGCACAGCCCTGTGTGAACAGGTTAGTCATTCATTCATTGGTTCCAACACACACACACACACACACACACACACACACACACACACATTCACCCATGCCTTGACCACACCACACACATACACACACAGAGGCACACACATATAAAAGAACACACACACACACACACCATACAAACACACCATATACATAAACACACACACTCACACATACACACACATGCACACATTCAGACACCATCCTAGTGTTCATATTCTCTTTGATTTCATTAATCATTCTCCTACAATTATTCTTTTGAATATTTTACTGGGATTTTTATCTAATTTACTCACACAGAATCTATCGCTTTGGATTCTGTACTTTTAGAATGGTTCTGTTGCCTTGATTTCATGTCCTTTATACTGTTGTGTCAAAATAGAGATCCTCGTGTTGTTTCATTGGTTAGATTTTCTTTAATCATCTGATGTATGAGCAATGATAAAATGAGGGCAGGTTAAAGAAGGGTAGAGGTTCATGGCTCAGTGCCTAAGCCCATCAGTCCATATTCTCAAGTATAATGGTCTAGATCACGCCAAGAACAGCATAGCAACTGTAGAGGCAACCACAGTTCCAGGACATCTCCACTTCCCAAATGTAACAGTGAGTTAAAACTGTCACTTGGGTCATTTCAATAACTGTTTGGAGATAAGGAACAATAGTCATGTGTAGTGTACAAAGACACTAGTCTCTAAGGCGGAAAGTGAAAAGGGAGTGGGGCTGGGTGAGTATGTGGATCACTACTCAGTCTGGAAAAAATCAAGGTGGAGCAAGTTGCACTATTGTTAGTGTGAAGATCACTAAAAGTTATACTTAAAGCACGAAAAGAGGAGGAGATGGAAAATATATTAGTTACTTGTCTCTCTTGCGGTGGCAAAATAACTGAAAAAGGCAACTTAAATGGGGAAGATTTATCTATACTTATTTTAGATCATAGTTTGAAGATACGGTCCATTGTGACAAGCAGGGGCAGCAGATTGAGGCAGCAGCAGATGGGCACTGGTGCTCAGCTCCACTCACCTTATCCTCCATTCTCTCTTGGCAAACAGGGCGCTCTTTCTGCTAACATAATCTCTGGAATCCATCACAGCCATGCCCAGAAGCTGACTGATCTAGATAACCCCTCCTCCCTCTACACGAGCAGAAGGTTGTCTCTGCTTTCAGTACAGACCCTGTCCAGTTGACAGCCAATATAACCACCACAATTCCACTCCTTGTCAACACTGCAATAAAACACACCACTTTCAAATCGCTTTTTGTCTTTATTGGCTCATGTCCATTTCATAATACAAAACGCATTCAGTCTAACTTCAAAAAATTCCCTGTAAAAACATCAAGAAAACCAACAGCCCAGTTTAAAATAGGGCATAGACCTGAACAGAGGGCTCTCAAAAGACAAAAGGCAAATGGCTGAGAAACATGTGGAATGCCCACAGAAGTCAGGAAATTAGTAAGGAGCCATGGAGGCAGGATTTCCAGGAGAATGAAGCAGTATGAAGAGTTAAAGGGAAATAATGGTACGGGAAGAGTTTAATGGTGAGGGGATTTCAAAGCAAGGTAGATGAGGAATTATGGGAAGGGATAATTAACATTAAAGATGTTTCCAAAACATCCTATGGAAACCTACTACTACAGAAGCTTCCTAAAATATCTACATACACACAAATAATAGGTGTTAAAATGGGGTTGCCCTGTAAAGTGGGAGCAATGATCTCCTGGACATCAAGAGGTAACAAAAAACCCAGTTACCTCTTTGGGAGATGCTAAAAAGTGAGGTGACTAGCCATGTTTCAAGTAGGATTATTTCATGAAGCTAAATAGGCAATTAAAGGTTAAGCACGGCTCCAAGGCAGTGGCTTTGCTCTCTATGTGGGGAGAGCTGATCTCATTCTTACAAATTCTTGTGACACTGTGCTACCAGTGATTATTACACATGTTAAAATAATAAAAGATATTCTTTTCCTATTCTGTTTACTTTCTGTAAATGGAACTCAATGGATGAGAATAAGAAAAACATTTGGAATAAGGCTAAAGGCAAAGAAAACAAATGTGGCTTCCAGATGAGGAAACTAAACATTTTTGAAATGTCTTTTGAAGTCCCAGCTTTCTGTTTTGCCCTGCGTCGTTTGAATGTGGGACTTCAGAGCTCCACATGTGCTGAGCAAGGGCTGCGTCTCTAGGCTACTGAGCTAGTCCTGCAGGATGCCTGAAAGGGCACTCAGTCCTGGACCTCCAGCCAGAGTAGCAAGGCCACGTGCTGTGGTTGTCCACAACGCTGAAAATTTTATAGCTTTACCGGCCACCCATCACCATGACCTTCACCTCCTTGAGTTCCTCTTACCAGCGAAAATGGACACAAGAGCACACTGGGTCAGGAATACCGCATAAGAACCTGGGCCAGCCTGCTATGATGTCCCAAGGACTGCAGTGTAGATGGCTGGAAGGCTTAGGCAAAGTTTCCTTTAAGACCAGCAGTTTGAGAATGACCCGGGGCAACACAGTGAGGCATCACCTCAAAGACAAAGCAAAAGGATGGCTTGTTAGCTTTAATACACATAGTAATTTAAAGCCCACAGAAACAGAATTCCGATGTGAGAAAAGATGGGCACGTGAGCTTAGAATGGGGGTCAAGGTGGTGCTAAGTGTTTGCAGCTGAGAATCTGCGTCTCAGTCTGGCCCTTGCAACTGCTCGCTCTCCTGCTGAATCACACACACCCCTCCGGCCCGGCTCCCTATTGCCCAGAGTCGTGCAGCCTCTCTAGAGGAGGATGAACCCTAACCATCAGAGCCTGTGATCATCCAGGAGAAGACAGACCATTGGCTCAAATCAAGCAGCTGGACTTCCTAACTCTGGGCACTGGGTGCCTCTCTTGCAGCTGGTGCTTGCAGGCTGACAGCACTGTTTGTGCTTCGCAATCTACAAAGGCAGAGTCAAAGGCCTACTGAGAAGTCCAGGGCAAAGTGAACGGCTCACTGTGCGCCCGCGCTCAGCGGCTCCACCCGCAGCCACAGCCCGCCCTCTGCGCGCAGGATCAGCTCCGGCTTCCGGCGCGGCTCCTTGTCGTCCGGCAGGACGCGGAAGCGCAGCAGCGTCAGCGCCAGCGCCACCTTCATCTCGCTCATGGCGAAAGTCTGTCCTATGCAGTTCCTGCGGGAGGACGGGATGGGGACTCTGATTGCGCCCGGACCCAGACAAGTGTCCTCGGACCCAACCTGACAGGGTCCCGTCAGGTGGAGGGACGGACGCTATATACTGGGGACCCCACTTAATATTTAATTCGAACCTTGCCCAGAGTTCAGGCCACAGTACAAACGAGCAGGAGGAGGGCCTTGAAGCATCCCTGTACACCCTTGGAACTTCCCAAACTAGCTCTCCAAACCTTGGCTTATATTCCCCCCCTCCCCCCGGGATGGGGTTTCTCTGTATAACAAGAGCCCTGGCTGTCCTGGACTCACTTTGTAGACCAGGCTGGCCTCGAACCCACAGACATCGGCCTGCCTCTGTTTCCCAAAATGCCTGGCAGGAGCTGGGGAAAGGCGACTATAAACCTCAAGCATCTCAACTCCCCCTTTCCTTATTATCACACCCAGATCCTGCTGCACAATCCTGAGCTTGCTAGCTTCACCTGGGTCCCGCAGAGAAGGGAATAAATGCCAGAGATGATCTATCCTGGATGTTCTCTGGATCAAAACGGAAGGGGTCATAGACCTGCAGAAGAGAATAGCCACGGTGAACGAGTAGCATCTCCCAGCACAGCGAGAGACAGAGAGTCTTGAGCATGCTGAGAAAAGTGAAGTCTGATATAGCCTGGGGACACTGGGGATGAACAAGAATTGGGGCACAGCGCACCTCAGGGTCGCGCCACACAGTAGGGTTGTGATGGATTCCAAAAATATCGATGATGCAGATGACACCTGTGGGAAGGTGGAACCGCAGGGTGAGCCTGCTGCCTGATAAACCTTGCCATGTACCCAGGATCCTTCTCCCCTATGCTGTGGCTACCTTTAGGGATGACCCTGCCATCTGGGAGGGAAATGTCCTGAGTGCAGCAGCGGGAAACCATTGTGACTGGGGGATGCAGCCGCAGACTCTCCTTGATGCACATGGTCAGGAAGGGCAGCCGGGCCAGGTCGTCCCTAAGGAGCACACCACACGATTATCCAGGAGCAAAACAGGGATCATGAGGCCCTCTGGTGCCCAATTAATCCTTCTTCAAGGTGGTAAAATAATCCCAGGAAGAGCAGAGAATTAGGAAAGTACTGGAGGAAATATAGCCGAGTATCTTTAGAGACGTTTTTTTTTTTTCCTCCTGAGACAATGTTCAAACACCCACCATTTTTAAAACTCAGCACATTTACATTAAAATAAATATTGCTTATAGCAAAAAAGCAAGATCAAAAGGAAAAAGAATTAACTGATCTAACTTGTTTGCTCTTCTCTCTCCTCTACATAAAACCTCTCTTTCCCTCACACATCCTATCTGCCCTTCCCCTCCTGTACATTCCTCTTCTCTTCCTCCCTTGTCTTCTCTCAGTTATTTCTCCTGTCCCTGCTCCTCCCTATCACCTAACCCTTTTTATCTACCTCTCCCCTTCTCCATTACTCTTTATATCTCTCCTCTTTTTATACCCCTCCTGCTACCAGTCATAGGCACCCCAATCCTACAGTCTTCCTCCTCCATCAGCCCACACCGTCCTTAAGCCTACCACCCTATTCTGCAGTCCCACACATATTCAGTGACCTTCCTGATGAAACATACCCCTTCCTCCTTCATGTGCCTCTCACATGCTCCCAATCCACTGCATGCCCATGTGTCTTAACCCAAGATGGCTCTCCCACCAAGCTGGGAGCTCCAGGAAGGCTGGTCTCTGGGCTGAGTCCTTAGCATAGACTAAGCTAGGCACAAAATGAGAATGAAAAGGCAGTGGAGGGGTAGTGGTGAAGGAAGATGAGGTGCATGAATGAGTCACAGGTTCAAAAAACACAGATAGGACTTCTAATCCCAGATGTCCCCGTGAATCCCTGGGAGAATAGGAGGAAAGTAATTAGGAAGCAGAAGAACAACCTATCAGGAAGAGAAGACATGGAGAAATGTTATTTAGGACAGAAGTGGAGGAGAGGAAGGGAAGTTCACTTACTCAATTCGTGCAAAGTAGCATTATCTGCCTTCACTTAGTGTTATCTTGTTAGCAATTTTCTTTGAACTTCACATCTTCCTTTTCCTTGCTGGTGAAGTAGATACCTTACCCACCATCCAAGAACAGAAGAATTTTTCCCTACTGGGAAACGAAACCAGGAGTGGGGTTCAGGAATAGTCCACTAGGACCTGCACTCACCACTCAATCTCCTCAGGCTCACGGCCCCTCAGGAGCTCCTGCACCTCCTGCCGGCAGCGCTCCTGGTGCTCAGGGTGCTTTGCCAGGTTGTACAGGATCCAAGAGAGCCCACTGGCTGTGGTGTCATGTCCTGAAGAGCAGACAGACAGGCTTGGGCCTCTGGGCTATATCAGCACCATTGAGTAGACAGCTCTCAAGCAGTAAAGTCCTCAGGAGGGATGGAGGAAAGACAGAATACAGGGAATGAAAGGACCCAGATTCTTGAGGTAGAGAGACTCCTACTCCTTCCTTGATCTCATACTGAGACCCTTACCCCTAAACATGAAGGTGTCAGCCTCGGCTCGGATGTCTTCATCTGACATCTCCTTTCCATCTTCATCCTGGGTTCAAGGCAAGGTCTTATATCACACCACTTTCAAAGTCTAACAAAATATCTAGAGCTCCTCTTCTAGCCAGGTACACAAGACCTTCCTACTCCTACATTTCTCTTGGTTACCATCGCCAGAGCTCCTAACACACAGGCATTTTTTTTTTGGCTGCCCTGCCTCCTGTTTTTTTCCTAATTGGAAGAATCAAAGACCCATACTTCTCTATGATGAGTGGTTTCTGTGGGAAAGAGTGACTAGCCACCTTGGAAATAGAACCATTGCATGGCAACTTGTCTTGGCAATTAGAGATTAAGCATTCTCTAAGTCAGTGTTTGTCAACATCTCCAAAAATATTTACAGCATGATTCACAGCAGTAGCAAAACTACAGGTATGAAGCAACAACAAAAATAATTTTATGATTGTGGGATCACCACAACATAAGGAATTGTAGCAAAGGGTTACAGCATTAGGGAGGTTGAGAACCACAGCTCTAAGTCTCTGACTTTGATCTCTACATTTTACCAGTTCTTCCTTTATTGCTATTTTCTTTGTCACAAAGGTTGTGTCTTTGGGACTGGAAGATTTAGACTGACAGGAGAACTAGGAACAGTATTTTGTAAATAGGACAGATGATGCCACAGTGTGTGGGGTCTCTCTTCTTTCTCTCTCAATTACTATTTTTTTCAAATGTTCCCTTTCTGGTTTTTCTCACCTTGTACTCTGATGTCTTCCCTGCTCTCCTGTCCCACTACTGGGTCGAAATCTAGAGAATTTATCTTATTTCTTTTAGAAGCTATCAGGTTTGCAAACGTAGAAAATTTACTTCAGTACTTGGTTAAAGTTGTTTATATTCAAAAATAAAGTACCCTCTTTGAGAAAATTTGAGGGGAGTGCAGGGTGATTTATGTGCTTGAAAATGTCACAATGAAATAGCTAAAAATTAATTTTCATATTCCTTGCTTCCTCTCCTGTGTCCTCCCCCATTTCCTATCATCTATTTATCCTCTGTTTACTTTTCCTCTTCTGTTCTTCTCTTTCCTCTCACTCTCATCTTTATTCTATTGCTCTCTCTGAAACAAAGAAGACAGATGTGCTGTTCTATAAGCTTCCATACACACACACACACACACACACACACACACACACACACACACACACGTCTTTCATAGGTCATAATGTATAGGTCTTTTTCCTATTGTATAAATTCTGTCGTGGTTTGAAGAATGACCCCATAGGCTCATATATTTGCAAACTTAGTTCTCAGTTGGTGAACTGTTTGGAAAGAATTAGGAAGTGTGGCCTTGCTGGAGAAGGTATGGTCTTGTTGGAGGAAGTGTGTCACAGGTGAGTTTTGAGCTTTTAAAAGCCCACACCAGGTCTAGCCCCACAGCACTCCCTCCTCGGCCAGCTGCCTGTGGATCCACATGTAAAGCGCTACTGCTCCAGCTCCAGCCTGTCTGCTTCCCCTGTGGTGATCATGGACCAATCCTCTGAAACTGTAAGCAAGCCCCCAGTTAAATGCTTTCTTTTATAAGAGCTGTTCTGGTCATGGTGTCTCCTCAGAGCAATGGAACAGTAACTATGATACCTGCTTCACCTTCAGTTAAAATAATCAAATGACCAGGGAAAGAATGATCGGGGGAAGAGAGTGTTACTGCTGTAATGTGTGATCTGCACTGATCATAAAATTATGCACAGCTTTCAACAAAGATGCAGACCCAAACCCAGACACTGTGATTCACTAACTCACCAAGCAAGGCCCTTCAGTTTCAGACCTAGACACGCTGTGCCGGCTGCTCCCCAGTGTTTTCTCCACATGGCACTCCTTTCTAACTTGTCTCTTTTCCTCAAATACTTCCCATGGCTTCTCGGTGTTCTGTACATCAAGTCATTACTGGAACTCTAAAAAGCTGTATCATCTCACTTTCAACGCTGGCACCCTTCTATTCTTTATAAAATCATAATGAGGTGGGGCTGGAGGGATGCCTCAGTGGTTAAGAGCACCATCACCCAGATGGTGGCTCACAGTCACCCACAGCCTCAGTTCTAGGGGAGTCGGTGCTCTCTTGTGGCCTCTGCTGGCACCAAGCATGCACATGGCACATACAAACATGCAAACAAACACTCATACGCACAAAACAAAAATAAATAAATCATTTTTTAAACTCATGAGGAACAGTACAAGCATGTAATGCCAGAAGTTGGGGCAGGAATATCCGCTCACCCAGCCCTGAAGAAAAGCATGGCAGCACAGTAAGACGCAGACAGGAAAAGCTACCTCAAGCCAAAATGTCTGACACAAACATAATCCCAGCACTGAGGAAGCTGAGTCAGGTGGAACATGAGATTGAGACCAGCCTGCTTTACACAGTGAGACTCCATCTTAAAGAAGAAAACGAAACAAAAACTTCAACTAATTAATTAATTTTAGAAGCTCCATTGCACCTCTTAGGACACCTACCTTGAACAGCATGATGTGGTGCATATCTGTAATCCCAGCACTCAGGGAGGCAGAGGCAGGTGGCTCTCTGTCAGTTCAAGGCCAGCCAGGTCTACAAAGGGAGTCCAGGACAGCCAGGGCTACACAGAGAAACCCTGTCTCAAAAAACAAAACAAAAACAAAAACAAAAAGCCTACCTTGGTTAGCAGCAGCACATCAATAAAGTCCAAAGTCTTGGCCTTGGCCTTGGCCTTGATGACATCATCACCACTATTACCAGGCAGAGTGCGACGTCGCTCCTGGATGATGGCGTCGGTGAAGTCATGTACCAGGCGGCAGGCCTTATAGAAGCGCATCCCATCAGGTGTGAGGCGGTAGAGCAGGTCCATGTGCAGAAGCAGCTGCTCGTTTCTTTTCACAGCCAGAGCACTGAGCTCCAAGATGGCAGCAATGTACTGGCTGGGCTTCCTGCACAATGAGACCAGGAAGAGAAGCAGGAATGCAACCGATCTGAAGCCTGAGGGGCGGCTCTCAGCAGAAGGAGGGAACTATTTCTCAACAAAAACTGACTAATTTAGCCCAACTAATCAGGAAAAGATGGCAACCTGTGATGATAGGCAACGGCCCTGATGGCAACATTGTAAGAAAAGCTGTCAGCCAGGCACTGTGGCACAAGCCTTTAGTCCCAACACTTGGGAGGCAGAGGCAGGCCTATCTCTGTGAGTTCATAAAGGCCAACCTGGTCTACAAATCAAGTTCCAAGATGGCCAGAACTGGTGCACAGAGAAACACTGTTTTGTTTTGTTTTGTTTTGTTTTGTTTTGTTTTGTTTTGTTTTGTTTTGTTTTGTTTTGAGATAGGCTGGCACACATATGTAATTCCAGCACCGAACACTCAATTTCTTCTCTCCTTTCATTCTGCTCCCATGAACATACAGATTTCCTTAGGCACTCACTGCGTAGTACAGAAACCAGATTCTTCTCTTTCCTTTCTGACCCAGGCTCCAGTTCTGCTCCTCCTGCTTCCAACATTGTCCACCCACATCAGGACTCATCAATTCTTTCAGTTGGTCTATGGACAGGTCCCCTCTCTTGTACAACATCAACTCCATTTTCTTTTAAAAGGAAGTCACTGTCTTTCTAGAGCTCCTCTCTAATCATGCTCAACATTGGTCTACTATGTTCATTTATTTTATACCTGTAAGTTGCCAATTCTTTTGGTTAATACCTCTATACCCTAGTCAAGGCCATGGGAAATCTCAAATGTCTTGCCAAGGCAGATGTGACCATTGAGGGGAGAGGCTTGCAGGGCTGAGAAATATCTACGCAAACACAAAATGGAGTCAGAACAGGATGGCATTACCTTAATCATGTCAATCGTGGGTGTACCTTTAAAGGGATGTTTAAACCCTGGCATTTTTCTGTCTCTCTTTACCTCTTAGCTGCCTGTGTTTCCTCCAGCACAGGATGTCTCCTTGATACAAGTTTGGGCACAGATCCAAAAGCAATAAAATCAAATTACATTGAAACCATTAGCTGAAATTAATATCTCCTCTTTTTGATAACCTTAAATATTTTGCTATAGTGATAGAGCTAATGACGACCTCTCGTTGTTCTCTAGAAACTATAAACTTCATTCAGAGAATGAAATTCAACACTTTTCTTGGCTTTCGGTGTCTGTGTGCTTTAGTTACTGTCTGCTCTCCCAACCTCAATCCCAAATGCCTCATGCCATATGCCCTGGATCTGCCTCATCTGAATCTCTGTGCCTTCCTCTGAACAATTCCCCCTCACACGGAGCTTCTCCACCCCCTGTGGGGTTGGTTCAATATCAGTTTTGACCCACTTCCTCCATGGAATCTCTTCTGCTTCTTGGCCACCTTCCCTCCCCCATCTCTTGCTTACACACCAGGCTCCAAAGCCAGGAATTGGAACTCACTCCTGACAGTTGCTGTTGAAGCTAAAGACACATTTCTGTAAAGTATCCAAGGTCATGAGGCTGATGTTCTCAAACATGTCCAGATGGGCTATACCCCCTGAGACCAGGTGCTTCCACTTGGCCTTGGGAGAGAGGAGAAAGGGAGAGGGAGAGGGAGAGAGTTAGATCTTGGCTCCCTAAGGCTCTGCCCAATCCCACCTACTAGAATGGGCACCCTCAAACCAGACTTCTAGATCTCATGACCTCGGGGATAACCCAACAATGGAAGTGGTTACTACAGCAGATGAAGACACAGACTGGGTCACGAGTCAAGCTCTGCTTCCTGTGTTCTGTGCTTCCTCAATCAGTTAATTTCCTTTTCCTAGTTCTTACCTGTCACATCTTTAGGAAGTTGATCAGATTTGGTGTCTGCTAAACTAAGAGGGAACCTATGTGCCACCATTTTTAGCTCATGTCCTGCAGCATAATATGAACAAGGTCCCTAATATCTATGACCCTGAGGCTTATCATTAATGCAGAAAAGGCAAGCACCGTACCTCACAGGCTTTTGGAAATTAAAGTTGGCCAGCACAGATTATTGAACTGAGTCTTAGCATAGATACAGCCTGTGACAAACATTCAACACATGGTACCCTTTTCATTGTCACTGCCATAAATTGATTTCAAAACCATTCCTTTGTTAAGAATGTTAGACTGCCATTGTTTCTTGAAGAAATTTGTTAGACATACCAAGAATGAACTATGTTCTTAATTTAGGCTATTCCTCTGATGTTATTGCAAGAAAACTCTGGATACAGTGATGACTCTCCAGGAATAAAAATAATACTAAATTCTGCTCGTTATAGAAGCAGATTCCCTAAGACTCAGTCATATTATTACATCAGGTCCTGAGGTGATCCTACTGCAGCCCTCTTGCATTGTGCTCAGGGAGTGTCGGTACCTTGAAGAAAGGATGAGAGCTTGCCTGATGCACAGTTGCTTGCCGTGCAGTGAGCAAATGCTTGGCTCTTCTATCTGACCCACAAATCTGGTGTGTGCTAGCAGAACCCAGAACAAGGAAGCAGGCTAACATGTCAGTGTGCGAGTAAGGGACTGTCTGTCAGCCCAGTTCTCACCTTGTCCAGGCATCGCATCTAGTGCAGTGTGATTTTCCAGCCATGGGCATTAGATTTTGACCCATTTTGTTAATTCTGTGTTTGACTTATGATTTGATCAACAAAAGCTGGTGAGATGATAAGCTATAGTTTTGGTTAAACCTAAGCTTTAGGTCATATCCAGCTTCTCTCATTCCCATGGAACTCTGTGCCACAAGCCTAGGGTGCCTCGTACAGGAAGAGAACCACGGAAACAGTTGTTCCTCCTGCTAAATTATCCTGAAGTCTGCAAGCTCCGTACATGATAGGACTGACCCAGAATCAGCCGAGCTGCCAGCTGATGAGTTCCGGGGACTCACAAGCATGATGTTGGTGCTGTCATTGAAAATCTTCACGTAGGACTTCAGGATGCTGAAGTGGAAGGCGGGTGTCAGCATGCGACGGTGACGGCTCCACTTGCCACCAGCACTCAGCAGGAGCCCATCGCCTGGAGGGTGATCATTACAAAGTGCGCAAAGGCAGCACTCTTCCCTGGGCCCCAGGCGTGTCCCAATCATCTCACCGCAAGGACTCACCCAGCCAGGGTTTTAGGAATCTGTAGAAGATGTCGTCCTTTGGGGCAACCGCAGCTGGTGTGAACGAGAATCATTGGAGACCAATGGAGAATGCAGAGGGGTGAACTTGAGAAGAATTTGGTCCCCTCATCAGGGGCGTGCATGTCTGCCTCAAGCCAGTACGGCGAGGTTGTGAAGAGGGACAGAGGGGGCAGGGAGGAGAGGTAAGCAGGAGGGAGACTAGGCTATAGGAAGAGGTGGGACACAGCGTGGCATCACACCCGAGTAAGCATTCACGTGGCTTCTGCACAGCCTTAACACATCAACACTCCGGAGATCTTTACACTGACCTAGCACACCCATCCACACTGACCTACATCCATCCACCCTGCGCCTTCTGTCTCTCCTGACGTGTCCGTGTGGCATGGATGCACACAGCATGTGCATCTGTCTTAAGGTGACCAAAGTTGTTGGGATCAAAAGGCAAGGTGAGAAGGAAAGAGTTTATTTAGCCTTTAGCTTACACGTCCATATAGCTGTCAGGACAGGGCTGAAACCCGGAGTCGGGTGCTGATGCAGAGGCCGTGGAGGGGTGCTGCTTCTCATGGCCTGATCTCATGGTGTGCTTCTCATGGCTTGATCAGCCTGGTTTGTTTATAGAACCGGGACCACCAGCCCAGGGATGGCACCACCCACAATGGGCTGGGCCCTCCCTCGTTGATCACTAATTGAGAAAATGCCTTGCAGCTGGATCTCATGGAGTCATTTTCTTAACTGAGGTTCCTTCCTCTCCGATGACTCTAGCTTGTGTCTAATTGACAAGCAAAACAAGCCAGTTCAACATCCTAATAACTAACATAGCTAAACACACACAGTCTTCCCTGACATGGGCCCTGCCCAATGCAACATAGTGTCTTAGCTAGGGTTTCTGTTGCTGTGAAATGACACCATGACTATGGCAACTCTTAAAAACAGCAACAACATTTAACTGGGGCTGGCTTACGGTTCAGATGTTTAGTCCATTGTTACCATGCAGGAAGCATGGCAGCATATAGGCAGGCAGGCACTGGACAAGGACCTGAGAGTTCTACATCTTGATTCGTAGGCAACAGGAAGAGATGAGCAAGGCTTGAGTATCTGAGACCTCAAAGCCCACCCCCTAGTGACACACCTACTCCAACAAGGCCACCCCTCCTAGTAGTGTCACTCCCTATGGGCCTACTAGGGCCATTTTTATTCAAGTACATCGATAGAGAAGGTCTGCCAATTCTCTGTGTAACTGAAATGGTCATTGTAGGATGTAAGGAGACTGCTCACTTGGCAAAGTGCTTGTCTTTCAAGCCTGAAGACCTGAGTTCCATCCACAGCACCCTCATAAAAAGTTGGGTGTGGTCACATGCACTTTTGACAGTTCTGAGGAGGCAGATCCCAGCTGAATTCTGGCTATCCATCACAGCCTAACCAGTGAGCTCTAACTCACCGAGAGACTCTGCTCCCCAAAACAAGGGGTGACCTCTCATGACACCCACTGTTGGCCTCTTGCCTCCACACACATAGGCACACAAATGCACGTGCACCTTTATAAAAACATGCATGTATTTGTACACAGACTTAAAAACAGTCACATTAACCTCTCAGGTGTGTAACAGATGCGATCCAACTGGACATCAGACACGGATATGCACTAAGCCCTGCCGAACCCAATCTCCAGGGAGGCCTCAGTCAAGTCTCAGTGCCACTCTGGATGACAGCTATCAGATGCCCTAAACATGGTCAAAATGTTATCAGAAGGATGAAAATACAGTCTCAAAACAACTGCTCAACCACACAGAAACCAACATTCCTCATGTGTCTCCTTAGGGGCCCCAGATAGGGCAGTCTTTACATGATCACAGATATAAACCATGCTTAGCCAGGGATATTGTCATATAGCAAGGCAACCACCGCCACAGCCCCACCAGCCTGCCTTAGGTCACCTGGAGCAGAGAGGAGGGGCTTCACAGTAGGAAGGCTACACAGATGGACACCATCCAGGGCCCCTACCCCACAGCACACGCCAGGATGGCTGCACCATGCACCTTTGCCGTACCTCTGGATTAGAGGAAAGAGAGCCTGGAGTTTGCTTCTCTGGGCTGCCAGAGAGGTGGATTAGCTATGCTGGAGGCAGAAGAAGCCCTGGGAAGCCTATCCAAGCCTTTCTCGTTCTCAGTGCTGAACCCTGCCCAGGCTTCCTCCAGACAGCTTCTGTGCACAGCCACCCTAAACCTTCAGTTAGAGGGACAGAAAGACACATTCACCCTTAGGATCTGGGTTCTCTTCCACCCCATTCGCCAGACTGAAACTCAAGCCCTCAAGTCTCTTGCTTCCAGTCTCCCAAACAGTACATGAAGCATCTGAGACCTGAGTCTGGGACTGTGCATCAATAGCCTGAACTCTTATTCATTTATCTACTCTGCCTTTCCTCTGACAATAGCACCATGATGGCACCAGACTTCCCAAAATCAAGAGGCAGAGTGATTTAATGAGGACTCTGTCCTATGGCTCAGACCAGCAAATTAAAATTAACTATGAGCCCAGAAATCCTGGGAGCTCCAGGAGAAAAGCAAGCTGCCCCATGGTCTGAGACTCATTACTTAGACCTTGATGAAAAGGCTTGCATGAAAAGGTGAACCACAGGGAGGCAGAAGAGACCAGAAGACATTTTCCCAATCTATAGTCTAAAGATTCCCTTTATTTCATTGAATCAAACTCACACTTGACAGAGATCTAGCCATGCAGAGAGAGCCGGGGGCCTTCCTGGCAGACATGAGAGCCATGATTACTGTGGAACACTGACCCCTCTCTTCTCAGCCTGGCCTGTGTCAGTATGGTAATATCAGAGGGCAGAGTATATAGACCAGGCTGGAGTGGCATTTCCTATGAAATATTCTGGGCCTTTTCAGTGATCAATAAACATGATGGGCAAACCACAGAAAAAGGAAAAATATAGAAAAAGCAACTGAATCCCACATTAGCATACCCATCTCACTGCTCTGCCTGGGGGTGGAATGAGCTACAGCCCTACATTGGCCCTGCACAGCCTGCCCCTACTTTAAACATTTCCATTATCAGGGTAGATTTGTCTTCATTCCACGTGCCTTGCTTTGTCTCACTTAGGCCTTAACTGGTCTGGCTTCTGGGCATGTCTGGTCTGGTCATGTCTCCTCCTCCAGGAAGCCTCCTTCCCTAGCAGAGATCTCACTTCAGCCATCACCCATCTCCCTCAGGGCCATTCCTGATCACAGGATTCATCTTTTGCAGATTGGGTTCCTCTAGGACAGAGCCTTGCTCAAGATCTCCTGGCACCCCAGGAATACCAAGAATGCTAGGATGGGGAGGAAGGAAATGACAGCAGTGGAGAAAGGAAAGACCGACATGGAGATGGTGAGCACATGAAAGAGCAGAAAGGCTGAGAGAGGAAAGGGAAGAAGGCTGGGTCAGTGAAGGGGCCACACACAGAAGCATGGAAGTAAAGACCAGAGGTTCTCAGGTCCCCATACCCGCAACACCACCAGCTCCCATGGGTACCTGAGGCGCTAAGGACAGATCGGATGGTGTCAGGGTGGCACAGATTGATGAGAGGAATTACAGGGCCTAACCAGATCAGGAAGCCCTGGGGGTAAGTGGCCACCAGCTCAATCATCTCCTTCATGCCTTCTTCCGTGGGAGGGGACTGAGGGGGGAAAAAAAGACAAGGGTAATCCCTCCTGAGTTGGCTCTTTTCAGGGATCAAATTGGCTGGGATGCCCCACAAGCTGTGGCAACATGACTCTGGGTGCATCCGTGATAGTGCTTCCAGAGCACATTAGTATTCACATTAGCAGACTGAGTCGGGATGACTCACCCTCCACCGTGTGGATGGTACAAGTGAAACAAGAGACAGAGAAAGGGAAAATTCATTTCCCTGTCACAGCTTGGCCACCTGGCTTCTCTTGCCCGCAGATATCAGACTCCAGAGTTTATATCTGACACTCCACTTCACCCAGCATTGGACCTTTGTTCTTAGGCTAAACTGTTACTCCACCAGCTTCCCGGTGCTCCAATCGGCATGGGGCATTGTGAGGTTTCACAATCTCCTTTATCACATAGGTCCAAAGTTTCTGTCTATCTACCTAGCTCTCTCTACCTTCTCTTACTTACATACCTGTGCGAGCTATCTGTATATCATGCGCATTTGACCTCTACATAACTATGTGTAGCAGTGTGCTACACTTGATTATTTTTATCAACAACAGGATGTGTATATTACATCGGTCACGTAAAACTATAACACATCTGAGGATGATCTACGTCTAACAGTTTTTGCTCTTATTCTTATGTTTAGATACATTTGGCTAACTAAATACCATGATCTAAAAATCGCGTGCGATCGTGTCAGCAGTACCACGAGGTACGGTTTGCATGGTGGGACCCGTAGGTGGTCTCTCATACCCTAGATGTGCAGTAGGCTCTGCCATGGTGGTTTAACTAAGCGAACCCTATAGTGTTGGTAAAATGACAAAATCACCCAGGCGCGGATTTGTAAGATTTGTCGCTCTTGCAAGGCGATGTATCTGTGTGCATGTGTAAATGTGTATGTGCATGTGCGCGTGCACTTGTGTGCATGCTTTGGCTCTGGTGCTCTGGGGAGAACTAGTGCGCTTCCTCAGCACTGTTAGGAGGTTCCTCCTGAAGCCTCTGGAGGCCCACATGTGTCTGCCTGTTTCAGGAGAGAGGAGGGAGACACTGCTTCTTCTTGCTCTGTCCTTATCCATCACGTCTCGGTATCAAGCCTGCATCTTGTGGTCAATAGGCTGTCTGCCTCAGAGAAGCCCCCTTTGTCTTGAGCAGATTCATTTCTCAGGTGGAATCGATTCCATCCCCAGGAAAAGCCTCAAGGCAAGGTCCTGATAGGGAAGTGTGTGGACAACACTGTGGGCTCAGGGTTTGTCCCCAGGGTTTCCTCTCAAGTGCTCTTCTGCCTGCATATACCAAAAAAATGTCTCCAGTTCCACCTATGCAGAAGAGCTCAAACCCTGGAGCCTCTAGAGGTGACCTTACAGGCCCCCCAGGACAGCAGAGGGGGTCTGAAGTCTCCATCAGAGTGGCATCTGCTCCAACAAGCAGCTAGTATCCACAGGGTAAAGGATTCTGTGCATAATCTCAAGAGCTGTGTGCTGTACATGGAGCGACTAAGGCCAAGTCAACTGAAGGAGAGAGCAGACCTATGTCAAGGTCCAAGTGTTGGGTAAAGGTTAGAGCCAAGGAAGGCTCACTGAAGAATGGGCGTTCTAAACTAATCCAGGTTGTGCAACAGGCCACAGGCCACTTTAGTAGAAAGGAACAACATAAGGAAGATATGACCCAGGAAATGGAGTTTCCTACGAGCCAAGTGTGCCAGAGGTATAAGGGGGGTGGGGCATAGAAATCCCTTCCGGAATAAAGCAGAAATCCAGAGATAGACTAACAGAAAGAAAGGGACCAGACAGGAAGCTGACTCTAAACCAGGACCCTTCAGGAAGCCAAAGCAATGTGTGACTGTGAGGGACCCTGGCTCTGTGTCGCCCATGATGGGAGCACTTCAGTGTAAACCAGAGGCAAAAAACAAACAACAACAAAACAGGCTGGATATGAATGCAGAGTAGACTGGGGATGGAGAACAGGGATGTAAGAAAAGCTTAAAATGGAGTACCCAAAGACCCTAATTCATTCTACCCCCAATTTCCAGATCCATGGGAGATTGCTGCACCCTCACACCCCAGCCCCTAGCTCACCCAATGCCTGACACTCTGTCCAGGCACCCTCATATCCAGATTCCAGGCCATCCTACTATCAACCCCTTGGCCACCGGGAGGTCCCTGCACCCTCATAGCCTGGACCCATCTTGTTGCCATACTCACCATGCTGAGGTGACCCCAAAACCAGCTCCTCTTGGGTGGCTCAGGAAAACCACAAAGACGATGACACTTTTTATATAAAGTGTATATCTGTGTGAGGCAGCAGGCCAAGAACCAGGAAGCCCCAACCAAGAAAAAGAGTAACCATGGTGAGGCTGACATGGGCCCTAGTCCCAGCCAGGATAGGCCCAGAAACTGCATCCTACAATAGAAATGATAAACCATGAGTTTGAGAATCTCAGTGAACCAGCAGGAACATCCTATAACACTGGAGAGGGTGGAGACTATGAATCCTGATGTCAAATCAGGTGGTAGTGGAGACCAATGTAGGAGAGACACAGCGAAATAAGATATGAAGAGTAGGAAAAGAGGCAGATGACAAAGAAAAGAAAGAGAGAGAGAGTCTGAATAATGTCCCAAATTACATGCATAATTCTGAGATTTCCTAGAGCGTTTACCTAGAAACTACCACACCTTCAGGGCCAGCTGGGTCACTGTTATCACTTTTAATCATCTGGCTCCCCAACACCACCTCAGACATGGGCAGAACCCCCCCCCTCTCTGTCTCCCAGGACCCTCCCATCCAGCTGCACTCTGTAGCCAAACCACCTTCTCTCAGGAGCGGTGTCTCCCACAGCTCCACTCTCTCTCTCTTCTGAGCTCCCTTTGGCTCGTTGCCTGAAGGAAGCAGTGGGAGGCTGGGTTCTTTTGTGCCAGCCAATCCTTTCCAGAGCTGACAGTTTCTTTCTAGCCTGGCAGGAGGCCCAGAAAAGTGGGTTGAGTCAACCAGCTCTATGTGGAACTGCGTCAGGTTCACACTGAGCATGGAAAACAGGTCCTCAGGACTTGACCCCTCCGTGAGGCTGGAGACAAGACCAGTGTTGGCAAAGTGACTCTGAGTCCCACCTCTATTGACCTTCTTTCTCTTCCAAGGACAAAATATATTGCTTTTAAAAATCATTAACTTGGGACTTCAGGTGCCAGGAGACCAGGGCCAGGCATGTCCCAGAACCTCTCTGGAGCTTCTCTGCATGTTGGTGTGGGAGAAGGTCCTGCAGGATTGCTTGACGCGGAACTGAGAGCCTCTGGAACACGACTGTCCCCAGCCACACAGCCAGGCAGCAGCCAAGTCCTGTCTCCGAGCAACGCAGGGTCTTGGTAGGCGTGATTCTTTTAGAAGCTGTCCAACAACTGAGTTCCCAGAGCAGGTTCCAGGGCCCGAAAGCCCGGCTAAAAGAACACAGCTGAAGCTGAGCTGGGCTGGAGCTAAGATATGGAGAGAGGGGAAGGTGTGAGTGAAGACGAGAAGGGCTTTCAGTAGATGGGTTCCTGGCAACAGAGTCAGGGCCCTTCTTGTTCCTATATGACTAGCACTTAAGATAATCTGTACTATTCTGTACACTGGTTACTGCTGTTTTCAAAAAAGAAGCTGTTTAGTACAGTGCTTGGTGCGTAGGAAAACGCCCTTGTCTGCTTGTGAGACAGCAATGTATTTTGATGTGAAGACTAACATGCAGGCCATGTGTTTCCTGTTTGACCAAGCTGTGGCCAGCATCTAGACTGGGCTTTCCATTACTTTTGTGAAAGAATGAAGACATAACCAGACAAAGGTAAGACTCTTGGGTCCCTTTGCCACAAATCAGGGAATACCTTCAACCATCCCTCATGCGTTCCCTGACCCTCAGCAGCATTTTTCAAAAGCTCTGAACATCAGGCTTGACATCAGAGAGCCCCAAAGAAGTGAGACCCTGCCACTCACCAGTCTTGTGACCTTGAGCAAGGAAGCTGCCCGTCTGGGCCTCAGACTCCTGAATAACATGGTCATGATGGTACAGAGGCCAGGGCTGCTGGAGCTTACAACATGCTTCTTAGTTTGTGTTCCCCGGAGTTCAAACTCTTCTTTTGGAGGTGACCCTAAGACATAGCTGTAGTGAAAGTTTTGGTGTCTTTAAAACAAGCTTAGTCACCTCCTCCATGCCCTCCTCTGATTCAGGAGCCTGAAAAAAAAAATAGTCACCTCCAGGTTAACTTGATGGATCAAGCTGGCTGAGCTAAGGGACACCCATGACTTCTAGGTGTCTGTGATCCAGAAGCATTTCCATCAGGACATGGAGCCAGGATGTCCCACCCTCTGCAGGGTGGATGGTACCACCCAACCCCCTGAGGATCCAGATAAAATAATAGATGAAGGAAGGGAACCTGCTGCACTCATTTTAAACTCCATTTTATTTGGGATTGTTTACTCCTCTACCTCTCTTCCGCCAATTTTTTAACCCTAGGTAGGAGAGAAATTTGGAGGAAAGGGAGAGGGGACACAGACCTCTTTACTTCTCCTAGCTGTTTAGGGTCTAAAGAGTCTCCATCAACAGCAAAAGCAGCCAGCAGTCCCCTGTTTCCCTCCTGCAATCCGCTCCTTTCTCTCCATCTGCCACACAGTGTCTCTGGTCACTCCGACTGCTGCTCGCCATTACCATACACGAACACAGCACATCACTCTTTCTCTTTCTGGGCTCTCATATTTATGTCCTCAGAGTCCTAGACTATGCCCCCCTGTCCCACAAGAGGCAGGCCGCTACCAGCTGACAAAGACCATACCCCGCACAAGACAGTTATCAGCTGTGGACAAACTAAAGCCCAAACTAAAATCTCACACTTGGGATAAAAAACAAAAACATATTTACATAACATAACTTAGTTTACAAAGAAACCAACACTTCCACTACATGAAACTGTACTCTGACCTCCTAGATGGGACACCATCTTCTCCTGCCATCGGACATCAGAACCTCAGGTCCGTGAGCCACTAGAATCCAGCATTTACAGGTGAGCCCTCCAGCACCCCAGGATTCTCACAGCTTTGTTCTGAGGCTGAGGTGATCACAACTGAGATTCCTTGCAGGTTGTACACTGAGAGAACCCTCAGTCTCCAGAAGTACCTAAACCAGCTCCCATGATGCAATGTAATGTACCCGCCCTCTCTCCCCTCTTCCATTCTATAGATGTATATAGATATGTATGATCATGATGCATACATGATTACACGAGCATGGTCACGTGCTGCTTGGTGATGCTTTATTAAAACAATGCACAGATGACCTTGATCCCTCAGGTTGCCATGGAGCAGAGAACTGCTGCTGCCTGTTATTTTTACAGCGTTCTTTCCATGTTTAGATACATTCAGGTACACAAATAATATCACATCAGAACAAACCATGATGTAGCGGGAACAATTCGGTAACACATATCCTAACTGTGCATTAAGCTTTGCCATACAGGGTTTTTTTGTCGGTAGACTCTGATGTCAGCATAACGATAAAACTGCCTCCGGATAAATATCTCAGAATATGTTGTCCTTATCATTATTTGGTGTATGACTCCATGTGAGTACGTGTGAGAGTTTGCATGTGTGCTCAGGAACGTGCATGTGGGTGCATGCAAATGTGCATTTGAGGAGGTATATGACTGAATGAGTGTGAGTGTATGGGTGTGAGCCTGTGTGCTATTGGTTCCTTTCCTCCAGGAAATCCTAGGCCAGTGTCCCATGAGTACATTCAAGCCCCTCCCACAGGCTCTAAAAATGGCACAGCCTCTGAAGTAATCCTGTGTCTTCATTTTGAAATAGAGAAGGGAATCACAGCCTCCCCCTGTTCTTGTCCAAATCCCAAGTGCTCATTCCAGGGCCAGTGGGCAAGTTATTCCTTCTGCCAGGGCTACATAAGCTCCAGTTCCTCCCTGGACAAAGGGCCACACACTGGGGACATTCCAGCCTTGGCAGACAGGTCCTGGGGTGGGGTCTGCAGCCCACAGAGGTGACCTCCGAGTCTGCATTAGGGTGGCAGCTCCCACCCACCAGCACCGGCTGCCCACCAGCCTCAAGGTATCCTGAACCTCTGTATACAGCCCACACTGAGCCATTTGCAAGTGAAACAACTGGGGCTAAGCCACCTAAATGAGAGAGCAGGTGTAAGCCAAGGGCCAAAGTGTCAGGGTAAAGGTTGGTATCGAGGAAGGTTCGTGGGAGGGAGGTGGACAGCATTTATCCAGGTAGCACATCAGGGCTCACTGTGCTCTATCTTAGGGGAGAAGAGCACGATAAGGAGGAAGTGGCCCAGGGAGGGGCAGTGGGGAGTGAGCCTGCAGCTCTGCTGTATCCCAGCTGTGCCCCACTGTGTGCAGTTAGGGAGAGAGATCAAAGGTCAAAGCTAGAAAACTGGAGGACAGAGCAGGGCCCACATTAAAATAATAATAACAAATTTTAAAGGTCCTGGACAGAGTCAGGAAGCCTCAAGTCCAACACTGTTGGTAACAAAGCCCTGGGACCCTTCCTAAGGGCCTGACCTGCCAGATAAGCACCGGGCGCCAGCAGGCCATAGCTTCTTACAACCCATTGTTCCCAAAACTGTTTGCTTTGGGACACATCCGTGACCACCGATGTGACCACCGATGTTATCTTCGGGCCTTGTAACTCTTTAACCCACCTTCTTAGCCTTGGGAACTTCCCACCAAGGGCCTTGGTATTTTTCCACTACTACTCCCCTTTCTTGCCCATCTCCCCCACCCTGCCAAAACCACGTTTTAAAAGAAACACCAAAGTTCAATAAAAGAGACACTTGACCGGCAACCGTCTGCTTGTGTCCTTTCTCTCTCTCCCCCATCTTTTTCAGGATTGACCCCCTTCGTCCCCACGAATAACTGAGTCCCGCGGGACGGGACACAACACAGACACTGAGGAAACGCCAGGAGCCTTCACTCCGTATGCCCCACCCTGAGAACTTCTCAGTGTCCTGAAATGTGAGAAAGAGAGTTGGAAATGCCAGAGCAAGCTAGGGGTGGGAACACGGGGAGGTAAGAAGGGAAGGCATACCCAAGCTCATCAGCTAACCCATGGCATCACTCTGAGCCCCATCCCTGACCCCCTAAAAGACAATCCACTCTGACACCCCCACCCATACTGATGCCACACCTACCATGCCCACATGGCTCATAAGTCAGTTCTATTTGAGAGTCTGAGGGAAACCATGAATGCCATGATAGTTCCCATAGGCAGCATAGATCTGTGTCAGAATGCGAGCCTTTCTCACCTTATCAGCTTCCAGTTATGGCTGGCCATAATATATATTTATTGATTGCCAGGAGTTCTTTTTTAAGGGTGAAAGTTTGCTGTAATCTTCAATAAACTATGAAATTGGGGCTGGGGAGACGGTTAAATCAGTGAAGGGCTTATGTAGTACAATTGTGAGAACCTGAGTTCAATTTCCAATATCAATGTTAGAAAGGAAGAAAGAAAGAAAGAAAGAAAGAAAGAAAGAAAGAAAGAAAGAAGGAAAGAAGGAAAGAAAGAGGGAGGAAAGAAAGAAAGAAAGAAAGAAAGAAAGAAAGAAGGAAGGAAGGAAGGAAGGAAGGAAGGAAGGAAGGAAGGAAGGAAAGAAAGAAAGAAAGAAGGAAAACGGAAAGAAATCTGGATGGAGTGACCTCATACCTGTAGTCCTGGCAGTGAGAAGGCAGAGACAGGAGGCAGGAGGATTCCTGGGGCTCGCTGGCCAGACAGTCTAGTGCGAATCACTGAATATCAAGTCCAGTGAGAGACCAGTTCCGGGGCCAAAGCCTGAGATGAAGGTGCCTCAACATGGCAGGTTTCTTCTAAGGCCTCTGTCTTAGTCAGGGTCACTATTGCTGTGATGAAACCCCACGGCCAAAGCAACTTGGGGAGGAAAGGGTACATTTGGCTTACACTTCATATCACTGTTCATCGTGGAAGGAAGTCAGGACAGGAACTCAAACAGGCAGGAACCTGGCGCCGATGCAGAGGCCAGGGAGGGTGCTGCTTACTGGCTTGCTTCCCCTGGCCTGCTCAGACTGGTGTTTTTGTTTTTGTTTTTGTTTTAATATAGAACCCTTCCTTGTTTCCCCTTTCTGCCCTGAAACTACCTTGTCTATAAGCAAACTGGTGCTCTCTGGTTCAGGAACTAGAGATGTCCTGCCCTGTTAGTTCACAGGCGATCCCACCAGCTTGCCTTCAGGGTCCAAGCAACATGCTATGTCATCACCTTCCGCCACAGCTAGGTGGGCCAGGCGTGTGTCGAATAGAAAGAACCTGCCTACCACCGCGTGCTCTCTTTCTCTTGGTCTCTCTGTTTGTCTCTCTCTTTCTCTGTCCTTCTTCGTTCTCATGGTTCTGTCCCTGTCTGTCTATCTGCCTGTCTTCATGTCCAATTGTCTGCCTCTACCCCTCTTCCTCGAGGCACTAACTCCTCTTCCTTTCCCCAAATAAATTTCCTTATACCAGATATGTTGTGTGGCCTAATCATATATTATAACAACCCCATAGGTCTTTTGCCAAAAAAAATACTGTGCTATCATTGAGTTGTTCAATCCCCTGTCTGTCTTTTCTTCTCACCAACTACAAATCTCACCTAATCCCAAGGTTTCCTACTATGCTTCCTTCAGCTGACTGGGCCAGAGCCCTGGGTGAGACACAACTGATGAATAGCATCCAAAGGAGAGAAAATTCTTATTTAACAGAACATCAAACTGCTGCTTAGAGAGGACAAGCCTCTGTCCCCCTCCAAATCAGGCGATTGATTCCCTTTGGACTGTCCTGGGTCCTGTCAAGAATTGCTGTGCAGGTGTTCTTTGAGAGAGACTGCTCAAAGAGTCGATGCTGTGTAAAAGACTTCTTGGGAAGATGCACACACACACACACACACACACACACCTACTCATCCCAGAAGATAGGAATCTAGTATGTTGTGTAGCATTTTCCTCCAAGATTAAAATCTTCCACCTTATTAAGAAATAGGATGTTTACAGGGAGATTAAGGGTAAAACATCAGAATGATCTAAGACATTGATTCTCAACCTGTGGTCCTTGACCCCTTTGTGAGTCAAATGATCCTTTCATAGGAGTCACCTAAGACCATCTGCATATGAGACTTTACATTATAATTCATAACAGTAGCAAAATTACAATTATGAAAATAATTTTATGTCGGGGGTCATGTTGTGGAAGGTTTAATATAGATTTATCTTTTAGTTAAACAGTGGTTATTCCTAAACTAGCTGTATACCCAAATCACCACAAAGAGACTAGGATTTATTTAATTAACCTAGAGCATAATGCTGGACAATAGTTACTCCATCCTAAACCTCCAAACCTGCGTAGTTTCCTCCCATTCAGATTTTCCACATTATACTTGCTTTTAGTCATATCTTAGATCCAATTAATCTCTCCTCATGGTTCCAAGTCCTCTCCTGCCCATCTCTCTTTTCCAACTCCTCCCACTCACTTCCTTCTCCTCCCCTCTGGACCAAGATGTCCCACCCTATTCTCTCCATTGCACAGCACTGGCTGGATGTTGAATTGACAATACAGAGAACAAATGGTGACATGTTTACACACACTTGAGATAGATGATGCTTAGAATAAGCATCGCAGTGTGATGTCCAGATTGAAACCAAATAGTGGGGGAGAGAAACCAGCATTTGAATGAACAAGGTTAAATTATAAACATTCCACAAGAACATTGTACCAACATAATCACTACAATGAGGAACTGCATTTTTTTAATTTGACAGTTCAGTCGATTTAATAAACATTTCATTTTAATTCAAGCCAGCTTTCATGTTTTAATATAAAATATTTGATGGACTTGAAACAAGTTGACTCAAAGGGAAAGTTAATTCTGTATTGATGGAATTAGTTGGAGGAACTGTATTTTACAGGGTCACAGCATTAGGAAGGTTGAGAACCATTGTTCTAAGGGAAATAAACTCTCTATCCTGCATGGAACCTCATTAAGATCAGGAAATAAACAACTCAGTAGCTTCAGGATTTCACTGAAACTGACCAGATTCACTAGACCCATCCCTTTTCAAGCATATCTAAAGCAGTAAGGCCTGCTGGGAGATCCTCTCAGACCAGCTGAGGTGAGGAACAAGCAGGAGTAATCTGAACGGTCAGTAAGAGGCTCGGAACAACTGAACTACCTGAGAAGGACACCCCCCAACCTGCTGAGCTGACTGCACCCCTGCTCCTGCAGGTAAGCCTAACGAAAGCTCACCGGTTCACTATGTTGGACTTCGGTAGCATCGCTTCCCTGTTTGGTTTGTTCGTGTCGTCCCAGGAACAGAGTCACATGGTGTTTTACCATAGACCAAAGTAACCAAAGCCCAACTCAGTGAACCAGTGAGTTTTTATTGTGGTTGCTAGTGGAAACATGGATGAGGGGTCGGTTACAGAAGCAGGGATGACTCAGAACAGTCCACCACAACGAGGGAGCCACCCCGGAAAGCTGCAGCCCTGGAGCTCTCTGAGTCTCCTCCCCTACAGTTAGTGGTTTGTTCCTTCATAAACCTGGAGAGAGAATCTGGCCAGCTGGGCATGGTGGTGCACGTCTCTAATCCCAGCACTCGGGAAGCAGAGGCAGGTGGATTTCTATGAGTTTCAGCCAGCCTGGTCTACAAAGGGAGTTCAGGACAGCCAGGGATAGCTACACAGAGAAACCCTGTCTTGAGAAAATAAACAAATAAACCAAACAAACAAAAATAATCTGGCTAGCTACTGAAGATATCTGTTTGCCTGTTGAGTCTCATAAGCCTTCCCCTCCCTCCTGGACGGAATTGTCAGATGGAAGTTAACTGCCATAGAACATCAGGCTCTGCAGAACTTCCATGAGAAGGGGAGGGGCAAATTCAGTGACCCTCTGTCCTGGCATCAAGGACACAGAGTCAGGTCTTAGAGCCTTTAGAAAAGAACTCTGTGCCCTTCCCAATCCCCACAACAGTTACTAGCATACCCAAGCTGAACTCTGACAGACCTGTCTCTCCATTGCCTGCAGTTCCCAAACTGTCCTGCAGAGGGAGAATTCTCCATGGTCGGGAAACCAACAGACCACACTGTTAGGTAGCCAGCCAGAAAAAGGCTTAACTTTGTCAGAATTGCACAGGGGCGGCTGTTGCAGAGTCTGTGGAACACAAAAGGCCCATCCTTTCTCACCCTTTGTATCCATACATCATCACGACCCTGGGCAGAAGCAAAGTGAAAAGTATCAGCTCAAGACCCCTAAGACCAAGTTCTCAGCACAAAGGAGATTTTTTTTTCCCCCTAAAGGGTCAGGGTCAGGGTCAGGGATTAAATGACAAAGACAGGAGACAATGTTGTGCCCAATTCCCAAGATCCCCAAAAGGCCATAAGGGAGTCGAATCCATTGCCAAACACGTGAGGATCTTTATTCACAGCCTGGACCAGACTCCCATAGACACCAAGGCATTGGTATCCAGCAGAGAGCCCCAAGCTCTGGATTGTGGATGATTTATAGGTCCCAGACCCTCCCGGCAGGCCCAAAGCAAGGGGTTCTAGCCTGGCAAACTTCTGGTTAATACAGAAAAGAGGAATGCTGCATTTCAAAACTGTTTGCTGTGGGAAAGTGCCAGGATCACGAACGATTCTGGCTTTCAGTTCTCTCGTCGGGGGATGGGGGGGGGGGGGGGGGGGGGGGGGGGGGGTTGGGTGTTTGGGGGGGGGGGGGGGGGGGGGGGGGGGGGGGGTGTTGGAATGGCTGGCCTTCCCTAGTTGGAACCAGTTGGGAGCCATCCTGGCTGGTTTCCTGGCAACGGATTCTCTCTTTCGCAACAAGGCCAGCTCTTCCCTGCAGTTAGCTGACTTGCCTAGAAGCAGCAGGGCCCACTGGCCTGATACATTTTAAACTTTTTAGCTCAGCACCCCGAAAACCTAGTTTTTAATTCTTTGGTCTCTCAATAAAAGGTGAGTGGAAAGGGGGAAGGGAACAGGGATGAAGAGAACAACTACACTGGGTCATACATAGAGGTAGAAGACAGAGGTAAGTAGATTACAGAGAAAATGTCTTTAGGTGTACATTACTTTGATGTGTGTTTGGAACTTTTTAGGAGAGTAGAGACAGAAGAAAAGACTTGAACATAGGAATCTCCGTTTACCCCAGGAGAACCTCCACTTACCTGAGGGAACCTCCATTTACTCTTTCACCAACAGTAATTTAAAAGATTTTGCTTTGGATCTGTCATCTAAGGAAATTGAGGCCAAGTTTGGTTGCACAAGCATGTAAGCCTAGAGGACCTTAAAGCGGGTGCTGGAGGAATGAACCTAAAATTATTTAAGAAGGTATCTCAGAGGAGAGCCTGGGTGTATGGTGGAAGACAGGATTTCCATGGGTGAAGAGAGAAAAGTCAGTTTTGCCTGTCTTTGGGGCGTCCCCACAAAGTACAGGAGAACCAGAGGTATGGGGGCACATGCTGGCAAAGCAGGTCATCAAGAGCAGAGCCAGGGCCCACAGGGAAGACTCCCGGGAGACATGGCCTCACCTAGTACTAGGATTTTCCTAAGACGCATCTGATGCAAGAAGAAAGGAAAAGCAGAGAGACCTTGTCTGTAAGAAGAACAAGATTATTCACCCAAGGGAAGGCGTCGGTGTGAGGGCGGCGAGAAGGGGGGGTACCTTCGTTCCCCAGTGAAATGGAGAGCTACCAGTCTGTCTCTCAGAAAAAGGGATACATTTACACCCACCATGGAAGGGAACTTATCAGTCTGCTGGTGTTGGATGTATGGATGTAGTGATTGAGTAGCCAGGAAAGAGGAGTCCCAAAACCAGGGAAAGGGGGGAGGAGGAATCCCACCTTTTGAGATAGACAATCGGTGCAGCACTTATCTGGAGCCTGGCTGTCTTTGAAACAGTTGCCTGGGGGAGTTGACTGTTGCTATACCGCAGCAGTAGGCCCTGCAGACCTCAGGGTTATTTTCTGTAGGAATGCTGACAGCCTCAGAGCAGCAGCCAAGGTCTGCGAGCATAGTTTTTGCTGTGGCTGAACCTGTTGGGAAGGCTCTTGGGCTTTAAAAGTCATTTTTACCAACTCCTGTGTGGGAGGGCTCAGGGACCATCCTCAGTCATTCAGTTAAAATAGCAGTGAGACCATGTTTGCATCTGTAGGACTATAAATATATTTTTGGACACATTAGAGGACTTGATCCTCTCTGAAATGAATGACTATTAACCTGCAGTTTTAGGACTTTAGGTTTAGTCCCTGTTAAGTTGGAACCTTAAAAGCCATAAACATAGCCCATTAAAGTGAGAACATAACAGTTTCCTGTATGATTTAGTATATAAAAGTCCATAGCTTATAAAAGTCTAAGGTTATATTATAGATTTATAATATTACCATATTTAGAAAATAAGACCAAGATATTTTAACCTTTTTGATAGTGAAGATATAGAACAATGACCAAGTTTTTGTTATTTTAATTTGTGTTTGTTTAACTATTTTTATTTTTATTATAATTTATTCACATTGTATCCCAGCTGTAACTCCCTCCCAATCCCACCCTCCTTTCCTCTTCTCCTCCCATGCCCCTTTCCCAGTCAACTGATAGGGGAGGTCCTCCTCCCCTTCCATCTGACCCTGGCCTATCAGGTCTCATCAGGACTGTCTGCATTGTCTTCCACTGTGGCCTAGTAAGGCTGACCCCCCCCCCCGAGGGAGGAGGTGATCAAAGAGACAGCCCCTGTTTCCCTTACTAGGGAACCTACTTGGACACTGAGCTGCCATAGGCTACATCTGTGCAGGGGTTCTAGGTTATCTCCATGAATGGTCCTTGGTTAGAGTATCAGTCTCAGAAAAGACCTCTGGGCCCAGATTTTGTGGTTCTGTTGCTCTCCTTGTAAAGCTCCAGTCCCCTCAAGGTCTTTCTATCTCCCCCTTCTTTCATAAGATTCCCTGCACTCTGCCCAAAGTTTGGCTATGAGTCTCAGCATCTGCTTTGATGCCCTGCTGGGTAGAGTCTTTCAGAGGCCCTCTGTGGTAGGTTCCTGTCCTGTTATCTGTTTTCTCCCTCTTCCAATGTCTATCACATTTGCCTTCCTGAATGAGAATTGATCATCTTACCCAGGGTGCTCCTTCTTGCTTAGCTTCCTTAGGTGTACAGATTTTAGTATGATTATCCTATATTTTATGTCTAATATCCACTTGTGAGTATATACCATGTGTGTCTTTCTGCTTCTAGGATAGCTCATGCAGGATGATCTTTTCTAGTTCCCACCATTTGCCTGCAAATTTCATGATTTCCTTGTTTTTAATTGCTGAGTAGTATTCCATTGTGTAAATGTACCACAATTTCTGTATCCATTCTTCAATTGAGGGATATCTGGGTTGTTTCCAGATTCTGGCTATTACAAATAAAGCTGCTATGAACATGGTTGAGCAAATGTCCTTGTATACTTGAGCATATTTTGGATATATGCCTAGGAGTGGTATAGCTGGAACAATGACCAAGTTTTAACATAAACAAATAAATTCCTCTAAAATTAATAGATCTTAATTTAGAGTATCCTTGGAATTATATCATATAAAGTATTTAAGCAAAAACTTTTACTTACTAACCCCTGAATTATGAGATTTAGGATAAACAACAGAGAAGAACAGTATAGAAGAATTTTTAAATTACATTTGAATTTATTATACCAAATCCATTGGCTGGAACAGCTAGTGGGAAATCCAGATAATAGGCAACTCACAGTGGGAGAATTAGCATTTATTATTAATTCAGGAATTGATAAAGACATAGGCAGTTAGACATATATTTTAAATTAGCTTGATTTAAATAGAGCTTTATAACTTTGAAATTTTAGCATTATATGAAAATTATTTTGAACCAAGGTTGAATCATACATACATACATACATACATGTATATAGGTTGTGAAAATTTAACTCCAAGCTTCGAGTTTTTGGGTTTTGTTTTGGTTTTTTTGTTTTTTGTTTTGTTTTGTTTTGTTTTTGTTTTTGGTTTTTTTTTTTTTGTTTTGTTTTGTTTTTTTTCGGAGGGGCGAGCATCTGTGAAACTCCAGCGCATGGAGTTTCTCTATTCTAAAATCAGCATGGCGGCTTACCACGTGCCGTGCCCAGCCATGGTGACATATTGAGGTGTGGGTGGCACAGCTGAGCAGCTGTCAGCCCAGTTCAAAAACCCTGCCCCAAACATAAGCAGGCAAACGAGGCGGGAAATTTAAAACCCGAACTCTTGGGGCCTGAGGAGGTGGCAAAATTTAAAGCCGTTTGAGAGCAGTCTTAAAACCCTTGGTGCTATGGGCTTACCTAATAGTGAAGTCCAGCGAGAGTGAGCAAATCCTGAAAGACCAGAGCAGAGTGTAGGCAAGAAAAAGTCCTGAGCAGCCACCAGAAGCGGCACCGACACAGGTGGGAGCGACAGGCCAACACAGGCTAAGCAGTCATGAAAGGAGCAGGAGATGGGGGTGCAGAGAGAGATTTGTTGTGGGTGGGCATGTGAAAGGAGTTCTAGCATGTCTAAACATTGCTAGAGGAGCCTCCTGGGTTTCCGCACCAAATGTTAGTATTTATTTAAAAATGATGTCACACACACCACAGGTATTATATGCAAGAGATTTATTGGATGGAGGTAGAGAAATAGAGAGGAAAAGAAAATAGAAAGACATGGTGGGGAATAGGGGTGCTCCAACAGAGAAAGGAGAGAAAGCAAGAGAGAGGAAGAGCAAAAGAGCAAGACAGAGGGGGAGTGGTAGACAGGTCACTATGTACCTGGCCCAGATGATGTCATAAGATGCAGGTACACTGTACACTGACACAGGACACTGTCAGGACCCTAAAGTTCCCTAAGGGAAGGCCAGTTGAATTGCCTGCACAACATAACAGGAAGTACAGTGAAATGAGGATGAAATGGCAGACCGAAACATGCAAGACCTAAAACAGCCCTTTAAAGAAAACAAGATTCAAGTCCCAGCAATAAACAACTAGAAAACAAACATTTCCAATAATCATTTTTAAACTATTTATGCTTTATAAAGTATATTCAGGATTAAATCTAAGAAAATTTGTGCCACATTTTAGGTCCCCAAAACAAACCCCAATGTGGCAGTGCTGATGGCAGTGACCAGCTCCCACCTGAGCTGGGGTTTTGTTAGGGAACAGAAACTGTTATTCCCAGTTTATGAGACCCCCAAAGATGACCAGGAATCAACTCTGCTACAAAACACAGGAGTGTTTATTGGATACAAGCTTGAGCCTGGGTCACAAGGTCCGTGTGGAAACAGAGAGGTATGCAGCAGTGTAGTCTAGGGGAACAAGGTTTTTAAAGAGCAAAACTGCAAGCAGAGAGTTACATGCTTTGGCGTTACATGATTGGGCAAGGGAAACTGACTTTTGAAATGATTGGTTTACTTTAGGTGCCAAGTCGATAAATGGTTCTGTCCTGGTCATCTGGGTGGGTTGCCAGGAGACGGTGTCTCTTTAAGTGGTTCCACCAGGCCTTCTGGGCTGTTTTCCTAGCAACTGTATCTTTAGTGGGCAGGAAAAGAATGCAGTAAGGCTGGTTCCTCCCCATAGGTCATGTCTGCACCTATCTGGCCTTTGTTCAGGCTTGTGGTTTAAACCTTAATTCAATAACCAAAAAAAAAAAAAAAAAAGCAAACAAACCTAATTTTTAATTCTTTGGTCTTTTAAAACCTAAAGTGTTTCTCAGAAGACCTTAAAGGCTATCTGAATGCTCCTGACCACAACTGCCAGTACCTCCTCTGTCTGAAACTCAACCCAAGGTAAGCACCTAGCAGTTCCAATACCTGAACAGCCTCTCCCTGCTAGATACCCATATAAAACCCAACAATTTTGCTGCTGGGTGCTATCCTCCACTCTCAAGGCAGCCCAGCAGTTTTTCCTTAAACTGCTCTTTCTCCCCACAGAGGGTGGCTGGGCTCTGCTGCCCCTGCTTACTCTGCACACCTATGATGAAAACCTCAAGACACTGATGAAAGGAATCCGAGACGACCTAAATAAATGGAGAGGTGTACAATGTTTATAGACAGGGGTGTCGATAATGTTTGATTCTTCTCAAATAAGTTTTATATAAATGTTTAAGTTTTGCCTACACCTATGCCTGTCTGAGGGTGTCAGATCCCCCAACTATCTGGCATTACAGATAGTTGCAAGCTGCCATGTGGGCACTGGGAATCGAACCTGAGTCCTTTGGAAAAACAACCAGTGCTCTTAATCTGTGAACCATCTCTCTAGCTGCTCAAATTGCTTTTTTGATTGAAATAAGTCTCAGTCAAAATCCTAGAAGAACTCCTCATAGAAACAGACACATAGAAACCCATATGAAAATACAAACAGCATAAAAGAGCCAAAGATATTTAAAATTAAGACTATAGTTGTAGGATTCCTATTGTCTCTTTCAAAAACATACTATTGTTGAAACTATGCCAACCATGCAAGTGTGCTGGCCAAAAATTGCACAGTTAAAGTCACTGAAATAGTCCACCCCAGTGATCACCAAAACAGCCACTGTGTACCCTCCCAGACAAGGACACATTTACAGCATTTCCAAGGGAGTCAAACCCAAAGTTCCTCTGTCCTCTCTGTTTTGTTCCAAGTCTAAAACCTATGGGTGGTGAGTAATACTCCCCTCAGGCTCTGACGTGGGCTAGAAACTAAAGTCAAAGGTCATTATGATCCCAATACATTCAGAAGTGGAGTTTTCATTGGCTCTCAGGGCCATTTAAAACTTCACACAAGGCGCTCGAGGGATGGCTCAATGGAATGGTTAAAAGCACTTGCTGCTCTTGCAGACTTAGGTTCAGTTCCTCAAACCCACACCAAAATGGTGGCTAACCACCTGTATCTCCAGTTCCAGGGCATCTGACGCCTTCTTCTAACCCACAGGCACATGTGTGAGGCACACACATACATGAAGGTAAAACACCCATACATGTAAAATAAACAATGTTTTTTAAATTTAAAATCATGCATATGACTGAATGCTTCAGTCAGGAATAAGCTAACTCATTTGGGTTAAATTCAGCCTGTGTTACAGCCACCATGAAACCTGAGTGATTTTTCAATTCTTTTCATGAATAAGTGACATTAAAAGACAGTAAAAAAAATTAGAGTCATCCAAGGGAATAGCTCAGGGGGAAAGCACTTGCTTAGACTGCGCAATGTCCTGGCTTCCAACTCCAAGAAACAAAATTACAAAGACACTCTAAATGAGAACAGAAATGGGGAGAAAAGTTGAACATGAGGGGTTGGGGAGGTGGCTCAGCAGGTAAAAGTTCCTGTTGCAAAGCATGAAGACTGGGGTTTGATCCCCAGAACCCACACGGGAAAAGAAAAACAACTCCTTCAAGTTTTCCTCAAACTTGCAAACACAAGCACCCAATAAACAAATATTTTTAAAATGTTGAAATGAATGAGAATTACAGTCTTCTTCTGAATCTAGTTTTTAAACAACAACAAAAAAAGATGTATTTGCAATTTAAACAAAGTCTTATTGCTGGCTCAGATTGTGTGTGTGTGTGTGTGTGTGTGTGTGTGTGTGTGTGTGTGTGTAGTTACAAATTTTCCTTCATAAAATTGTAAAGTAAAACTGAGCTCCTTCTGGTATACATTTATTCATACTCGGATGTGCCTTCCTGTTTTGTTTTTGTCTTTTATGAGAAAGAGGGTGTGTGTTTAGCACAGAAGTTTTTTGATTTTGATTTTGTTTTTGTTTTGCCAGCCCTGGCTGTCCTGGACTCTCTCTGTAGACCAGACTGGCCTTGAACTCCAGGACAGCTGGGCCCTGGGAAGTTTTAGAAATCTGCCCACCACTTTTGTCATGATCTCTGCCTCTGTGCCCGAGTAAAATGAAGGTGGTGGGGACCAGCCTCACCTTCTCAGTCCATCCCCTACCCTCACTGGCTTTGGGTTAGTTGCTGCTTCCAGCTCCGCTGTCCTGATTCAGACCTGCCCTGCTCTGTGTTGCCCAGGCCTTTTACCCGTGGCAACTTATGCCCATTGCAACCCAAGGGCTGAGGCAGGTGGGGCAGGCACAGGCCAGCAGAGGGAGCATGAGACTGCCAGCTAACACCCACAGCACAAAACCTTGACTTCTGGTTATGCTCAGCCAGCTTAACTCCTCCTCCAGTCTCAGTTCTCATGAGGCACCGCTAGGCCTGGAATGGGAAAGAGGAATGCTGGGGTCCCTGACAGAGCCATCATTGGCAGTGGGCAGAGAATGAGGCCAGGGAAACTCAGCCCCAGATGTTACCTCACCGGGGTGACTTGCTTCTCAGGGGTTCTTTAGAACAGCAGAATAAAAGCATAGCTGAGGTATTTAGCTGGGCTCAGTGGTACACTCCTTTAATCCCAGCACTTGGGAGACAGGGATGCCTGAAAGCAGGTGGTGATGCACTTCTCGTCTGCATGGGTGGAAGTGGCAGAGCAGAGAGCAGGTTGCCCTTCCTCACCAGACACAGCATGAGGCCAGCGATGGCCAGGCTGATTCCTACCACCTCCGGGGTGTCACCCCCTCAGGCAGCAGGGACCTGCCAGGTGCCTGCAGCAGCTTGTCTGCATTCTTGCAGTGCCAGGTCCTGCTCCTTTACCCAGATTCCCACACCTGATCCCTGGCAGTGCTGGCTCCAGCCTCATCTCCATGCCCCTGCCTCCCGCTGTGTGGCGAGCCCCTGAATTCATTTCTCATGTCAGAAAAAAGTGAAACTCAAATTTTTAATAGGCTTAATTTTTATTATAAAGACACAGTTTCAGAGCATAGCCCAGGCTGGCCCCAAACCTGCTATGTATACCAAGATAGTCTCCAACTCAGGATCGCACTGCCCAAGTCCTGCACTCTCAAGTACCTGTCACCATGCCCAGCTGACACTGGTTTAATAGTCTCATGAGGGGTCAAAGCTCGAAAGGGCTACAAGAAAGGAAAATTGTAAGAATCTTGTAAAATAAGTGATATTCTCAATGAACATTGCCCCAGACAAAAGTGAAATGAAGAATTCCGCAAGGGTGATTCCGTTCATTTTAAGCTGCCTTAGTAATTTTGGGCATCATGAGGCTTGAGTGCCATTTAACACGCTTCTCAATGGTGCCGAGATTTCCCTTTTCTGATAAACCATTTTACTCAAACTTTACAAATATCCCTCCAGGTGTAGTGGCGCAGCCCACTCCAGTAAGTGCAGCCCTAAGAAGACAGAAACTGGAGGGTCGCTTCAAATATGCTCAAGGAGAGGAGGAAGTACAAGAAAATGGAAACTATGGTTGTAAGGCTTTGTTTCAGTGACTAAGAATCTCGAATGGGCCCGATATTCTGCACCCTCCTTCGCTGCTCAAAAAGCTACAGTGGCTCTAACAGGATGAGGTCCATGCTTGAGCTAGAAAAGAACTCTGTTCAGCAGGAAAGCCTTGCTTCCAGCAAACAAGGATCATTGGCTCAAAGACATCAGTCCCGCCTCCTCTCGCTGAGACCACAGCTGGTTCTGCAGTCCTCCAGCGCTACCTGCCGACACCCGATGGAGCCATGCTAATTCTGGGATCCTTAGGTGGGTGGGCGAGGAGCATGGGGTCACTGCCCGCTCAGCGGCTCCACCCGCAGCCACAGCCCGCCCTCTGCGCGCAGGATCAGCTCCGGCTTCCGGCGCGGCTCCTTGTCGTCCGGCAGGACGCGGAAGCGCAGCAGAGTCAGCGCCAGCGCCACCTTCATCTCGCTCATGGCAAAAGTCTGTCCTATGCAGTTCCTGCAGGAGGACGGGGTGGGGAGTTTGACTGTGCAGGGTCCCACACTGGCGCGCTCAGAACCAACCTGAGCCGGTCCGGGCATGGTCAGCCCCTCACTTTCCAACCTCGAGCTCTACAGACTTTTGCAGATACCCTAAGTAGGGAGTAGGAAGGAGACCCAGAACCCAGCCATCCCAACTGGCCCCTACTATTCCCACTGACAGCCACAGACTCCGCCCCATCACCCTAAGCCCTCTGACCTCACCTGGGCCCCGCGGAGAAGGGAATAAAAGACAGAGGTGACCTCTTCTGAGGGTTTTCTGGGTCAAAGCGAAAGGGGTCATAGACCTGGGGGAAAGAGGCAAGATTAGGCTTCTAGGTTGTGTCTCTGAGCAGCACAGACCTAACCAGCTCCTGAAACGGCAGACATGGAGACAGAAGTGACAGCTTTTTGTTCCCGGGTTAAGGCCATTCCCCCTCCCCAGGTCCCAGAAATGCCCTCAACCTCAGGGTCTGGCCAGACTGAAGGATTGTGATGAACACCAAAGATGCTGATGACACAGACGGTCCCTGTTGGGCAGGAGGGTCCAGTCAGTAGCAGGTCCGAGCTGCCCTAGGGACCATCACCCTAACTCAGGGGCCTCCCCTCTGCCCTCCCCTCACCCATGACCCTGAGGGCACCTTTGGGGATGACCCGGCCATCAGGTAGCACAATGTCTTGGGTGCAGTGGCGGAGGACATCTATGACTGGGGGGTGCAGCCGCAGGCTCTCCTTGATGCACATGGTCAGGAAGGGCAGCCGGGACAGGTCGTCCCTAAGGAACACACCACACGATTATCCAGGAGCCAAACACTACCCTGCTCAGCCTCACTTGCATCTGGTTTGATTCTAACTACTTCTCTCTCACACTAGGTTCTGTAACTAATTGTATCCCAGATGAATCAAAGATGTTTGCCAGTTCCTTTGTCTCTTAACTATTAAGAACAACCTTTCCAGGTCCCAAGTTTTGAGGTCACAGGAGTCAACTAAGATCAAAGATTAACACCCCCTACCCCAAATCACAAAAACATGAGGAAAAAGCTTAACCTGAAATATTTCTAATTAAAGCATACCTCTCCAAAGATATCCTTAAATCATCTGATAAATCTGCAGTGCAAGATTCAGTGTACTGTTTTGCTACAACAACCTGGATGTGGTGGTACTCGGGAAAATGGACGGTGGAAGATCAAGAGTAAATAAATAGCCAAGCTGGGCTAGAGGAGACGGTGCATCAAAAATAAATTATAGAATGATACTAAAAAAGCAGAGATAAAGATCCTTAAAGGCCTATGAAGTTATTTAAATGAATATATATACTCCATAGGAGAGTGGCATTGGGGGAAATGACTCACTATGATAAAAGGGTCATTTTCTGACACAGGCTTTCTCAGTGTAGCGCTGGCTGTCCCAGAACTTGCTCTATAGACCAGGCTGGCCTCCAACTCAGAGATCTGCCTGCCTCTGACTCCAGAGCTCTGAAATTAGAGGTGTGGACAAACGCCACCTGGCTAGGCCTTTCCATGTTAACACTTTCAATACTATACAATAAACCCCTAGCTGTTTGTTTTTTAATGCATTTTTGTATTTTCAGACACCTACGTAATGTGTATTGATGATACTCACCCTGGTTACACTCTCATCTCTCTCCTGCTCTCCCACTCCTGCCAAACACCTTTGTCCTCCTGACCAACTTCTCTCCTACTTTGATGCCCTTTCTGTTTATGACCTGATGAAGTTTATTAAAGTTCCTTGTCTCAGCATGAGTGGGGATGGGAGGAGAGGAGGGGGGGGAGAGAATTTGTGTTTTACAACCTGACAAGCCTTTCCCGGGACTGGATTTCACAGAGCCTTGTTTAATAGGCAAGTGTCCACCATTAACTGCATTCCCATTCAACAACTTCATTCTAGTTAGAAGAGCTAAGTTCAGGCAATGGAAAGTAAATTTAAAAATAAAAGAAGGAACCAACCTAACAGCCACTAAAACTTACTACAAAACTATAGTGATAAAAATGAAAACATTTTTAAAAAATAAGTTACTAATGAGACCTGAGGAATACAGAGCGAAAAGCAGATACAAGAAGACAGTGCACACAACTGCTGGGAAATGGAAAGGCGGTTTGCAGGAGGATGTTAAGAAAACTAGCAATGAGCCAGGCAGTTGTGGTGCACACCTTTTATCCCAGCACTTCAGAGGCAGAGGCAGGCAGATCTCTGAGAGTTCAAAACCAGCCTGGGATTTTGAACAAAGTGAGTCCAGGACAGCCAGGGATACAAAACAAAAACAACAACAACAAAAACAAAAAATGAAAAACAAAAGGACTAGTAATGATCAACAAAAAGAATTAAATGCAGCCAGGCAAAGAATCCCAGGACTGGAGATGAGAAGGTAGGAGGGTCAGAGGTGAAAGTCAGTGTCAGCCTTGGAGTAAGCTGGAGGCTATCATGACCTGAACAAAAAGCTATCTCAACAAATAAGTAAAATAGCCAGGCACAGTGGCACATGCTTGTAATCCCAGCACTCCGGAGCAGAGGCAGGCAGATCACTATGAGTTCAAGGCCACCCTGCCTGATCTACAAAGGGAGTCCAGGATAGCCAAGGGTACACAGAGAAACCCTGTCTCAAAAAACAAAACAAGAAAGAAAACAAATAAATAAAATGAATTCTTGCATATACCTTTAAAACCAGCACTTGGAAAGCAGAGGCAGACAAATCTCTAAGAGTATGAGACCAGCCTGATCTACACAGTGAATTCCAGGCCAGTATTATATAATGTGAACCTATCTAAGAAAATAAAACAAAAAAAATTCTTGACCCCTGCAAATACAGGGTAAATTCTCTCAATACATTAGGAACACTAAAACTATAAGTTAATCATTACTCTCTATCATTTCAAAGACTAGTCATTTCTTTATGTTAGAACGTCAAAATTCCCCTTTTCCTGGTATTTTGAAATGTACAAAGTGTTACTAAAAAGTAGGCAAGGGTTCAAGAAGGGGTGTCTATGAACTACAAAGAAAAGAACGGCACAAAAGCCAGAAGGAAATTCACAACATCAGAGGAAGAGAATCAAGGAAAACAAATCGGGTTCATGTGAGCCAACTTGCTGTGTGAGATATAATTAATTAATTAAATGACGAGATGTCCAAACTGGCCATGTCCTCCTTAAAAACAAAGGTGTTTAGACCCTGTCAGGCAGCCTTAGCTACCCAGATACACCCTGTATCAAAGCTGCAATGTGCACGGTGGCCAGCAGCTCTAAGAGCAGAGACTCCATAGACTGTGCTCACCATTCAATCTCCTCAGGCTCGCCTTCCCTCAGGAGCTCCTGCACCTCCTGCCGGCAGCGCTCCTGGTATTCTGGATGCCTCGCCAGGTTGTACAGGATCCAGGAGAGCGCACTGGCTGTGGTGTCATGACCTGAGGGATAAACAGGAAAGCTGTGTTTCAGGGCTGTTTCAGCATTGCAGGCTAGACAGTGTCTAGACAGTGAGATTCCCCAGGAAGGATGGGGAAGGGATGGATGGAAGGAATGGGCAGATCCCAGAGGGTCCCCCAACAGGTGAGCCTGGGACTAACAGATCCCTTCCCTTTCTGTAGCCCTACACAGGGACCCTCACCTCCAAACATGAAGGTGTCAGCCTCTGCTCGAATGTCCTCATCTGACAGCTCCTTTCCATGTTCATCCTGGAGACATGAGACCCTCAATTTGTGCCATGTCTGAAGTGGTGTGAGACAGATTCTGATACCCACAGCACACACAAGAAGCCTCCCCCGACCTCTCCAGAATCTTTCTTCCTTGGTTTCTTGGCCACTGTTTGCTCTTTTAAGGAGCCATCAAAAGAATCACCATCCTTGTCAAAACCAGCTTCTTCTATCTAACACTGAACATGAAGGTTCCAGTAACCTAGTTCCCACATAAGCCCACCTTGGCCAGCAAGAGCACATCGATGAAGTCCAAAGTCTTAGACTTAGCCTTGGACTTCAGGAACTCATCAGCACTTTGGCTGGAGAGGGTGCGGCGTCTCTCCTGATGACAGCATCTGTGAAGTTGTGCACCAGGTCACAGGCCTTGCAGAAGCGCTGCCCATCAGCAGTGAGGTAGTATAGGAAGTCCACAAACAGGAAGAGCTGCTGGGACCTTTTTACTATGAGGGCGCTGAGCTCCAAGATGGCAGCAATGTATTCACTGGGAGACCTGCAGGACAGGTCAGAGAGAGGAAGCAACTTAGCACACAGAAACCCCAGAGAAACTCCAGCCAGAGTCCCAGGACCAGGATCCATCCAGAAAAGGCATACACGATTGGTTCTCTGTTTCCTGCTCCCCACAAGTAGACCCTGACCCAGGATCCCAGGGCATATGTGGTCATCATTTCTTCACCCTTGGTTTCCTGTGACTCTGCCCATGCTCAGACCCTACCTCCAGGTTCCCTGCAGCCTGTATCTCTGTGAAGCTCCTCTGTTGATTAGAATGCCCAAACTCACTGTGACTAGGACTTCCCCCGGTACAGACACCTTCTCTCATGCTCTGGGAAACTCAGGATGGAGTACACATCCCTCTGGCTGGGCATTCAACATCTTTAAGATCTGGCCACTAGCTGGAAACGGTGGCTCCTGTCTGTGGTTCCCAACATTTAGGAGGCGGATGCAGGAGGAGCAGAAGCTCAAAGCCAATCTAATCTACATAGTGAGTAGATTCCAGGCTAGACTAACTGCAAACTGAGATGCTGTCAAGAAAGAGAACAGGAAGGGATGGAAGGGAAGGGAAGAAGAAGAAAAGAAAAATGTGTGGGCTGTCTAATGCTCATAATTGTTAACTTTGAAAATCTACATTACAGTGAGATGCACCAAGGAGAGTAATAAAGCCTTTTTCTGTATATGTCAGAGATGGTGTTTTATTTTCAGGGCGAATTAAATGGGTGTGTAAAACCTGCTCTGAATGTGTACAGTTTCTTCCCCTGGATGGGGTCATGTGGATGACAAGGGAAGCAAAAGCTTGCTGGCACAGACAAGTTCTCTGCACTTCTCTGCCATCAAGGCGGGAACCTCTTTGCCCTGTTATACTCATCTTGATGGACCGGTGGACAAACCGAATCACTTAAGACAATTTGCCACAAAACTGTCACACATTCTTCAATGCCCTTTCAAAACTGCCTTGTTTTAAACTTCTTCCTCACCTGCTGCCCACCTCTTTGACTTTTTGCAAATTATTCCACCTCCCTGGAAGGAACACCCACCATTTCCTTTCCCTGTCTTTCACTGCCCATTTTGACCTAACTCCTTCAGAAAGCTTGCTCTCCTCCCTTTAGGTAATACTTCCTTCCCCAACCCACTTCCTTGGCACATGGCCCATGTTCCAAGGCTGGGGCAGGAACTCACTCCTGAGAGTTGCTGTGATAGCCAAATAAGCATTTCTGCAGACTGTCCAAAGTCATGAGGCTGATGTTCTCAAACATTTCCAATCGGGCACTACCCTCCAAGGATAGGCGCTGCCACTTGGCCTGACCAGAGAAGGGGACAGAGATAGGGCTGAACCTTTGAGCTTGAGCCTCTTCCCAACACTAAACACCAGGATAGGCACCTGACCCCAGGGAAAACCTGACTCTGGTGGGAGCAGACAATGTTACCATCGCAGATGAAGGCGTTAGGTCGGGAGACAAAGGCCCTGAGCTTAATTCTACCCCTGTGTGACCTTGGTTACCTGGCTACTTTCTCCTCAGGTCTGCCAAGTCTTCTGTCACAATTAAGTTGACATGATGTAATACCCTGTAAACTACATTTCAATGATTTCATGCTCCCTTGTAGTTGGCTATAGAAATGTCTCCAGTTAGGTGCTACCTTCTCAGCCTTTGTAATGACACCTTGTAACATTTCTGCTTTCTTCCTTTTAGAACCAGTATTTTCCATGTTTAAAAACCCAGAGTAAACTGTGTGCTACACAAGACCTTCACCATCGGTTTGGTTTGGTTTGGTTTTGGTTGTTTTTTGTTTGTTTGTTTGTTTGTTTGTTTGTTTTGTTTTTAATGAGTTTTGACCATATTCACCCACTCTCCTGCCAACTTCTCCCATATGGACCTTAGTTTTTTGATAATGTAGTTTGAACTGACCTATAATTCATAACCTTTCTTCTTTAGTCTCCCCAGGCTGGAATTAAGGAGTGCATCTCTACGGCCAGTTTTGGGGCAATGAAGCTATACTGGTATCCTACGCAGAAAGAGCTGCTCCGGTAGTCCGCATTAACCACTATATGGAGTGTCCAGTGCTTCTGTGAGGAACCCATCCTCATGCTAGGAGCGTGACTCCACGGTGTCACCTTTTAAGTGCAGATTACTATTCTCATCTTAAACACGGGGAAACTGATCTCCCAGGACTCTCAGCAGAAATACACGTTCAGAAAACATCTACTGTAGCCACTCCCTTTCTGCAAGGCTCTACATGGGACCCAGAGTCTGAGGAACTCACGTGCATGGTGTTCACACTCTTGTTAAAAATCTTCACGTAGGGCTTCAGGATGTCGAAGTGGAAAGCAGGTGTCAGCAGGCGGCGGTGGCGACTCCACTTGCCACCAGCACTCAGGAAGAGCCCATCTCCTGGGAGGGCAGGATGGCAATGGGCAAAGGCAGGACCTTTCTCTGACTCCCAAAGTGCCCCCTGACCCTCACCTTGATACTCACCCAGCCAGGGCTTCAGGAAGCCATAGAAAGTCATGTCCTTGGGGGCCACCAAAGCTGCCATGAAGAAGAACAATCAGGGGCCATGGAGAGGGTGGATGGTGGACTTAGGGAGGGATAGGGACTCCCAGCCCCAGGGCTGTGCACTTCCCCGCCAAGCACAGCCAGGCAAGAAGGGGACAGGAACAAGGAAGCAGCGAAGAGGAAGGAGATGAGGCAGACCAGAGCACACTGCAGCAGTGAGGAGAGCAAAGGTCAGCCTCACAGGGCACAACATGCCTCAGCACGCCTTCACATGGCTGCTACATGGTCCACCGTGTGGCTTTGCAGACATGGGACACACTGTCAACTGTGGCTCTCCGACATGCCCTGGCATATCCTGGTGTATATGACGGGGCACATGTTATCCAGACATGACACAACACAGTGTGTGACAGTCTGATGTGACCTGATTGTGCCCTTCACATAACCCCAGACTGGCATCTAAATATGGTCCCATTCAGTCCCGAATGTGACCTAGATGTGTCCCAGAGCCCTCCAGCTCTCCCCGCTATGCCACACTAAGCCCTGGGTGTTCAAAATCAAGGGCTCCTCTGTTCTCAGAGCCATGTGCCCACTGTGAAGTCTTCTGCCCTCACCAGCCGCCATGCAGCCCCACGGCCAACCAGACCCAGCTGACCCTCTGGACTCGGTGGATCTGACAGTTCTCTGCATACCAGAGGATGTGTCCCTAATCCTCTCCAGCTTGGGTCACTTCTATCCAAGGTGCCTGGGACAGCCAAGACTCAGTGAACTCGAGAGGTGGCAGAGAGTTCCCAATACGTTACATGCCTCCAACCAGGGCTGTTCACCCAGGAGGTACCCAGCTCCCAAGAATGCTGTTGAATGTCACTGGGGACACAGGGGGAGTAAAAAGGCACTCTGCTGTTCTATACAGAACCACTTGCACTCCATACTGTGAAAGGAATCAGCATGCACACATTGTAAATGGCGCAGGATGCACACACGGCTAAGAGTTCGCTCTTCTGAGTTACTTAGCCCCCAGTGGAGACAGTACCAACATAGGACCCACACCAAAGAGCCTTATCAGACTCAGCGTCCTCAGAAATATCTGAACCAGATGGCACGCAGACTTGATAATGAGGGAGAAATGCAAGTTGTGCTAAGTTAAGAAAGCTTGAATCTCAGAGGCAAGCCTGACCGTGTGAGCAAAGGATTGGGTCTGAGCTCTCAACGGCCTGCTTTTGTTGGCTGCAGAGGAAGGGCGGGTGATTCTTAAGACAGTGGACTCACTCCCTGTCTTCTCCGACCACAAACTTTCCAAATAAAGCACACCCTAAAGATTCAGTCCCTGAGGCTGGGGCCATGGGCCGGTAGATGGCTCTGGCAGAGGACCTTAGTTTAGTTCACAGCACCCACGCGGCCGCTCCCAACCACCTGTCACTCCAGTTCCAAGGGACCTGACACCCTCTTACCGAGGGCACTTCACACATGTGGGACACATACAGCCCTGCAGGCAAACACTCACGCACATAAAATAAAAATAAGGAGCTATCATGGGAGCGCACACCTTTAACACCAACATTCAGGAGGCAGAAGCAGGTGGGTCTCTGTTGAGTTCCAGGCCAAGCTGGTCTGCAAAGTGAATTCCAGGTCAGCTAGAGCTACACCGTACCTCAAAACAAATAAATCAATGCCTCAAAAATAACTATTTTTAAGTGCCTGTATGGGAGTGCTATTTCTGGAAAGGTAGAGGTAGGAGGATCACTGGGGTTTCCTGGCCAGACAGTCCAGCCTAACGGTGAGCCCCAGGGAAGTGAGAGATCCAGTCTCAATAAAAGCAGATAGAGTTCCCAAGGATAGCAGCTCAGGCTGCCACTGTCCTCCACAGGTACGCACCACATGTGCGCCCGTGGGCATATGCACACAAAAAGGTTCATCACAGAGAAGGGTTCTCTTCCCAGTTCTAGGATGGAACCTACCACTTTGTTCCTGGTAGGCAAGTGTTCTGCCGCTGAGTACATTCCCAGCCAATACAGTCTCTTCCCTGGCTTAGCCCACACGGGGTTGAGCTTCCATCACTCACAGCTCAAACAGATTCCAGCAGCAAGGGAGATGCAGAACCTCATCCAAAGACACTCAGCAAGTTAGCTACAGACATGGCTGCAGCTGGATATAGCCCCATCTGCTGCTCAGCCTGGTCTATATAGAGACAGAAAGAGCTTAGCTGAGTGACAGAGAAGAAGCAGCGAGGGAGGGTCCTAGAATGGATACCTGGGGCCTGGAGCAGGGGGCCAATGAATGCAGGGTCAACGAGCCTCAGCACAGGAATGACGGGTCCCAGCCAAAAGAGATGGACATCTCGGAAGGTCTGGCCCATTTCCGTCACCAGCTGCATGCCCTCCTCGTTGCTCTGGATCTGGAGATGTAAAAGGTTGAGGCCAGTCCAAGCATGGTGTCCCAGATGCTCCTGTTCTCTGCCCACCATGACCCAAGCTCATCCTCCTGCTTGGGTCATTCATCTGTGTCTCTTGATGAGTCAACAGCTCAACTATATGTGTCCCTTCCTGTATCCATGTCTCTCTCTCTCTCTCTCTCTCTCTCTCTCTCTCTCTCTCCCTCACTCTCTGATGCCTCACTCTTCTCATCTCTTTGCTTTGTGACCTAGATAGAGAAAACTGAAGGATCAATGGTTAGATAGAAAGATATATTCCTACGCACATGCTCTGAATTGTAGACAGGTGTCTAATTACTTGATAGAGAAATTAATGATGATGAAGATAGATAGTTGACAAACTGCTATGATAAATAAGGTGACAGGTAGAAGGATGAAATATAGACAGATACATGATAGATAACATAGGTAGATAACATTGAGAGATGTGATAGATAACTGGTATCAGAAGAAAATGATCAGAGTGGTCTCAGTCTGTGTGTGTGTGCGCGCGCGCGCGTGCGTGTGGAAACAATGAGTCGTCAAGAACTCCAGACTCTGAGTCGTGATGGAATTCTGAACTAATGGGGAGATGAGAGAGGAGCTGTGAGGAAGCTGATGGGTTGGTATGTACAAAGGATGGAGATGCTGAGAGGAAACTGGATAAGAGAGGGTAAATGAGGACGTTGGGAGGAAAGAAGACTGTGCTGAGAGAAAGCAGCATTCGAATGAACGGCATTGGCGGTGATGCAGACCTTGGACACACTGCAGGAAGGCCTAAGGTGCAACACTGAAACGGAATAAGCCAGCGATGTCACTGCTCTGTGCTCCTCACCAGGGAGGCTGCTGAATACCACAAGAATCCCAGGGAGAATGTGGCCCGCGGTGGGCTGGTGCCAGGTAAGGAAAAGAAAAGGGCCTCTGAGCACAGGTTTGACCGAAAGGCAAATGAGTGTGCTGGTGTGAGGAGGAGAGAGGGCTCACTTCGCCCTCTTTGCTTCTCGCTGCTTCAGGCTCCAGGCCTTCTGACTTCAGAGGAACACATACACCCTGATACCCCAATCCAATCTTCTGCTGTACTCACCATGCCCAGGTGACCAAGAAACCAGTCCCTTTTAGGGGCCTGAGGGAAACATCTGAGGCGGGAGCAGTTCTCACAGAATGAGTAAGTCCTGGCAAGGATCCTGGCCAAAAGCCAGGAAGCCACTCCAAGCAGCAGAAGATGCCACGGAGAGGCCAGCACAGAGCCCAGGTCCAGCCCTGACGACCTCAGTCACAGCATCCTGCAGAGCAGACAGACACGTTCAGAAGAGGAACTGGGGAAAGTCTAGAATTACTGAGCAAGGGCAGAGACTGAGAACATCACAGACGAGGGAGATTCAGGGAGAGACAGACTGATAAAGAGAAGGTGCCAGAGCAGAAAGGACACACAGACAAGGGCTGTTTAAAGGCTGGCCCCAGGCAGTTAGCCAGAAACTCGGGGTAACTGATGCCGGTTGGCTCCATGGAGCCACTCCAAAGCCGATAAACTCGTCCCTGTTAGAGAACCCTCTCTTGCCTCACATCCCACACCGTACCTTACTTCAGAGACAGCCTGTCCCCCAAGACCTTCTCTCCTCTCCTGTGAAATGCATTTATCCCCTCCTTCCTAACTGCAGGGGGCTGGGCTGCACTGGGCTGAATCAATGAATCCTTCCCAGGCTCAGCCACTTCCTGCCTGCCTGCACAGAAGGCCCAGACAAGGTGGGCAGGGCCTGACTGGAGTGCAAGGCAGGAACTCAGGATGACAGACAGAGGCTAGTGAACTTTAGGATACAGTCTGTCTGAGTTAAGGCCGAAGGTGACTCTGAGCCACCAAATTTACAGCTGTCCCTGCCCTTCCAAAGCCAACAGTCTCCAGATAAAAGCATGAAGGCGGAAGTACAGGCACCAGGAGACCCGGGCCAGGGCAGGAGGGTCCTGAGCATCTCCCCAGGTTCTCTGCACATTTTGCTGGTGGGGACACAGCGTGCGGAATTTCTCACTGCAGAACTGGGGGCAGAAGGGAGACTGGCTCTGTGATGCCTCTGCTCACCAGCGGCACAATCTCGCAGAGTTCAGTCCTAACGTGTAGCAGCCTAGCCCCTAGGTAGAAACAAGAATTCCAGACCAGGGAATCCAGCCATCATCAGACTTCAGAAAGAACTGTCCTAGTTGGGAAAGCACACCTGGAGGCCGATGGGTCAGAGGGAAGAGTGGAAGTGTGGAGGGAAGGAGTCAGACTATGAGCAGAGGGGGAACAGGCAAGAAAGAACAAGCCCAGAGCATTGGCCTTCCAGCATGAAGTGGGCACTGCCTTCAACATAAGTCTATGCTGTCCAAAAGCTGTCCTAGATTGCCATGCCTTAGACTTAGCAGTCACTGAATCCGCCAATGGCCATGCTCTCCTTTTGTTAGGCAAATGGAAGAGACCAACAGTTCCCCAGAGCCAGGACATTAAAGACAATGGTTGGCAACTCAAAGGTTGGCAGATAAAAGCAAGCTCAAAGCCCTGAAACAGGGTATAAAGGTAGTTGGTAGGTGATGGAGGCAGAAGGATAAGAGCAGTGGTCAGTGGACAAGTCCAGATGGGTCAGCGCAGAGACTCCCAAACCAGAAAAGAGGGACTATTCAGAAGCTAGTGGTCCATGATAGAGAGATCAGAGTAAAACAACTACATGACGTCCTCCTCGGGGAATTTTTCACAAACTGTTGCTCCCCTTTCACCTACTAAACTTTTCAACCTCATGGGTACTTAAGACCTCATGCAAATTCTTGCAATTACAAAACTGCTTATAACGCTGGGTGAAACAGACATCTGAGAGAAACATTCACTTTACTAGAAGAGCCACACCAGAGGAGGCATGAGGAAGGACATGATAGGGAATGAAGCAGGATAAGGCCCACACTTGTCAGGGTTGAAGCCATGGCCTTTCAGCTTAACCTAGCATTTTCACTTTTTATTTTGTTTATTTATGAGCATGGGTGTTGTGTCTGCACATGTGTGTGTGTGTGTGTGTGTGTGCGCGCTACATACATGCCTGATTCCATAAGATTTGCAGAAAAACGAGTGTCAGATCCCCTGAAACTGGAGTTACAGAAAGTTCTGAGCCACATGCGGATATAGGAATTGAACCTGACTCCTATACAAGAATCATCCTTCCATCTCTGAGTGGCTTTTTATCAAAGACTATATTCTTCCTTGCTTGCTTGCTCTGGTTAAACTCTTGACTTCTTTTTTACTATTATGTCCCAACCAAATCCTTCTCTTTCAGGAGTACAGGAACTCAGAGTGCTGCTGGAGTTGAGAACAGAAGACACTGGCAACCTCCTCAGGGCTCTGTGAGTGTTTGACAGGATGTGAAAGCAAACCCTGACTTCCAGTCAGGAAGGACGTCTGGTCTGAAAACACAGCTTCCGCAGCTGTCTGAAGTCTAACCAGGGATCTGCCCCCATACAGACTTTGGTCTTGCCAACCCCATAATCACAGATGCCAATTTCTAAAAATAAACCTGCTAATCGATAAATAAACGGAGGATTACCCCTATCATCAGGCCAGTTGGGAAGTTGATGCAAGAGTAATAGGAGTCAAGGCCAACCTGGGCTACATATGATAAGATAAATGCAGGTCATTCATCATATCTTTGGATATATGTTCATAGACACTGATATAGTGGTCATAAAATGCTCACTCATCACTGTCATCTTGACTGGATTTAGACTCACCATGGAAGCTGACTTCTGGGAGTGTCTATGAGTGTCTTTCAAAAAGACCCACCCTGAATGTGGGAAACTTCATCCCCAGGACTGTGTTCGCTGGCTAAACAAAAATAACAGAATGACCTAAATTACCACACACAATCCTCTTTGCTTCCTAATGTCAGATATCCTGTAACCAGGTGTTTCTTGGTCCTGCCACCACTATTTTCCCATGATCATAGACTGGACCCTTCAACTGTGAGCCAGGGGAATTCCTTTCTTTGTTAACTTGCATTTTCCAGCCATTTTGTCACGCAGAAGAGATAGGTGACTAATGCTTAAAATTGTACGAGGAGTGAGGTCAACCTGACATTGTGGTTTAGGGGAACTTGGGGCTGATTTGCTGAAGGAACGTGGAATAGTTTGGAATTCTGTGATATAAAATCCCTGGATGACTGAAACCAGATCTGAGTGAGACACTCTGATTAGTGTTCAGAGAACCGCAATGCTGAAATAGTGACAGTGAGGACAGTTCACAAGGATTCAGACAGAAACAGAACCCCCCCCCCCACACACACACACACACAGCTCTGCCTGCCTCTGCCTCCAGAGTGCTGGGATTAAAGGTGTACACCACCACCACCCAGCAAATAAAACTTTCTTGGGGACTGAGCCATAGGACATTCATGTTAACAACAACAACTATGTCTTTATTCTGTTCATGTCCTGAGAAGTTGAGTGAAGCCGGATTCAAAGGCTACATTCAGGCTGTGCTGTAGTTATTGCTCACTGCTATACAGGTCTCCTATGAAAGAACAGAGAGACATGAAAACATGAAGTTTACACAGAGTGGGAGAGTTTGAAGTTGCAGACAAGGAGGGTGAGGGGAAACTCTTGTCATGCTCAGGATATTAACCCATTAAAGAAAAACCTCCTATCCTGGCTGGGACAGTAGGACAGGTACCTTGAAGGCAAGACCTCTGCCTCTGACAGCTTCAGCTCGAAACAATATAAATACACCGAAAGGAGGAAGTCTGAACTGAGAATGTTGCTGAAGGGATTCCCTGCTGCAAACTGGCCACCTAGGGAACTGTTTTCCCAGGATCAACTCTACGGGCACAGAGATGCCAACGGAGCTATTGTTCAAGGCAACAGAACTAGGCAGCACCATCCTATGTACTGGTTTGGCTACCATGAAAGATGTGAGAGTGTGGCAGAGTATTTGATCATACTGCGAACCCCAAGGTTCTGTTGTTTGCAGAAAAACCTGTTTCTGGTTGTGGTGTGGCTCAGCCCTAGCACACACCTTTAATCCAAGAACTTTCTGCTTATTTTAAACAGGATTAAATACAATCAACCACAGGTCACCAGGTGGAGCAAGCAACCAGTTGACAGGGAGTAAAAAGAAAAAAAAAAGCCGTAGTAAGTAAGAGGAAGTCAAGAGAATGGATAGAGAGATGCACAAAAGGTAGAAGAAAGAGACATTCAGTTTGAGGGTTATTTTTTTAAGACACTGTGGGGAAGGTTTTCTTTTCCTTCTGGGATGTAGGCTGAGGAGGAAGGTCAGCCGGGTGCTTTCTCTGCCTCTCTGAGCTAGCAGGCTTTCACCCCGGCATCTAGCTCTTGAGTTTTTAATTGGTAAAACTGAACAATTGAGATTTTGTTTTTTAAAAAAAAGTGATGGTGGACTTGGAGGCTCGCACCAGGCCTCCAGAAAGCCACTAGGGCCTGGCAATGTGTGGAACCTTCAAGGAGACCCTGAATGGCTTGTACATGATATTAGAAATGCGCATGCTAAATTGATATGGAGACCGTAGATTGGTGCAGATGCAAAGAGCTTTAAGCAGACTGGAACTGGAACTAGTTCAAGAAAAAGAGTTTGTTTGCTGTAAGCAGCAGAACGGAAGGGACAAGGCTGCCAAAAGGCTGCTAGAGCAGATACAATTCCACACGAGCCTCGGAAGCAGGAGATGGGGGTGCAGTGGGGGCTGTTTGTTTTGGTTTGGTTTGGTTTTTTTTTCCCTCTGCTTTGTTCAGACTTGCTTTGTTCTAATTATTTTTCTATATTACTCTCTTATGACTGGGATATTTACCCCATGCCATTGGATATTGGAAATATGCAGTTTGGTTATTGTGTTTTGTTTCATTGATTTTACATGCACTCATAGTGAAGAGAGCACCTTGAGTCTCATGAGAGACTTTGAGCTCTTTAACAGTAGAGGGTTTAAAACTGACATTTCCTGGAGTAAGTGAGTTTTGCACTATGAGATGGAAATGAGAGTTCATGGGTCAGGACCAACACCTGAAAGTTGACCTCTGCTCTCTACATGCATGCTCACATCCCTCCACACACGTTGTGAGAGAACACTCAGAACTAGGGCTGGATTGATGGCTCATCAGGGAAGAGTGCATTCTGTTCTTTCAGAGGACAGGAGTTGCTTCCAAATACCATGTCAGGCATCTTTCACTACCACCTTCTGGCCTTCCTTGTCACCTGCTTTTAAGAACACATACCCTCACACAGACACATGGGACACAGCACAATGTGCCTAAGTGAGTCAACCCCAAATTTCACCTGTCCCTCTACTTTGCACAATCCACAAAGCCGTGTTTGTTTTGTTTTGTTTTGTTTTGTTTTGGGGGGGGGAAGTACTGATGTGTGTCAGTATGATCTGAAACTTATGAAAACTAATGGTACTCCAACATATTTAATGAAGTCAGGACTGGATCATGCCCATTTGAAATTTCACCTGAGACTTGGGTGTTTCTGTCAAGACAAAGCTAGGTTGTTTGAGTTAAATTTCAGCTGTTTTACAACTCTCAAACCTGAAAACTTTTCTAATTCCTTACGTGAGTAACATGAAAACAGAGTAATACATATAGCATCAGCTGGGCATGAGCCTTAATGGGAGAACACATGCCTAACATGTGACAGGCCCTGGGTTCCAACCCCAAAACTGGAAAAAAAATACATCAACATTATTTAATGGAAAACATAGGGACAGTGAGATGGAACAGCAGTTTTTTGAGTACAGTATAATGGAGGGGGCCTTTCTAATGACCCACTTTGATCCCAAATAAGTGACACAAAGACCTATTAGATTATTTTCGCAAGCTTTAAAGCACTGGAGCTGGGCAGATAGTCATCTGGTCTACCCCTCTATGCTAATCTAGCTACTTCCCAACCACACGACCCAAATTACTTTCCATACTGGTCCCACCTGGGCTGCTTCTGCTCCATCAGGTCAGTCCTCATGGCTACGCCCTTTCTCTTCCTCTTTTTCCTCCTCCCTCTACCTGAGACAACCTCTCCCCCAAGACTGAGACTGGAAGTCTAGCCTGTCCCCTCTGCCCAGTCATTGGCTGTTAAGCTTCTTTATTAACCAATCAGAGATAATTGGGGAGGAATGTTTACACAGCAGTGACACAGGAGATTCTTCATAGAAATGACCATGCCCATGTCTGGACTGGAACCAGATCTTGGGGCACAGAAGCCAGCTTCTGAATACACAGTGCGTCAGACCAATCCCCAACAAGAGTACTTGTTACACAATCATGGGAAACAGAATTTGGATTCCAGCACCCCATAAAAAGCTGAACATTGCACACATGTCTGTAATCCCCACTCTGAGGGGAGTAGACACAAGAGGATTGCTGGGACTAACTGGCATCTAGCTTAGCCAAGAAAATGGGATGCTGTTTTTAACAGAATCTCAAGTGTTCAGTTTTACCAATAAAGGAGAGGCAGATGCTAGGGTGAAAGCCTGCCAGCTCAGAGTGGCAAGGAAAGCACCCAGCTGACTTCCTTCTCAGCTGACTTCCTTCTCAGCTGACTTCTTTCTCAGCCGACATCACACAGAAGAAAAAGGAAACCTCCTTCCCCATACAGTCTCAAAGAACCTCCTTCCTACTGAATGTCCTTCCCCCCTCCTTCCTGTCCACCTCTCTATCGGTCCTTCTGACTTCCTTTTCCTCTCTATAGTTTTTTTTTCTAATGCTTTTTCTATGGTCACTTCCTGTCAATTGGTTGCTTGCTCCAACTCTTGACCTATGATTGACTTTATTTAATCCTGATTACAATATCCATGAAGAATTATCTTGGATGAAGGGTGTGTAGTAAGGCTGAGCCACACCACAACTAAAAACTGTTTTTTTTTCCAGTAAATAACACAATCCCCAAGTTCACAATGTGATAATAACAATAGAAACAACAATAATGATAGGAGCCCTAGGTTCAGAGAAACCCTGCCTCAAAGGACGACACAGAGTGATAAAGGACACAAGGCTTTCTCTTCTGGCTGCTGTGTAGACAGAGGAGGGAATATATAAAATTCCCCCTGAGGAGGTAGGAACTAGGACAGGTCATACATTACCAGATGGTCTTAGAATGCACAGCAGAGCATCAGACCTGCCCATAGCCTGAATCCCTGTCCTGCTCAAACACCTACAGTTGACTTCTGCTTCTCACGGGAGTAAGTCCATGTTTGATTGTTGGTTAGGGATGCTCTAGAAGCCCCCAACAAAATACAAACTCTTTATACTGATCTTAGCTGCCCAGAAGAACTAGAGGGGAAGGCCTCACTGCTGATTATACAGTGTACTTCCATTGTAAAACATGGAGAAATCACCCTGGAACTGACCTGGAAACTTCTTCCCTCCCAGCTAGCTTTCACAGTGTCAGAAAGTAGAAGGCAACAAGCTGGGGGAGAAAAGCCACCAACGGTGTTACCCAGCACTAAACCCTGAACGTTACAGTACTGGCTTTCTGGATATGTGGATTAACATCATACTGCTATGAATGTTTTGATAACAACCAAGCACCTTCTTGGATTTGAAGCCTGCTCCACAGGAGAATTCATGCCTACCCATGTAAAGCTCACCAAATTACATGGCAAGGTCATTGTTTTGATAAATGGATATGTTGTCAAATTGTCTCCAAACCACTTACGCTTATACCCACAGAGCAGTGGTACTCTCAACCTTGGCCAGACAAACCTCTTTTTAAGATTTACTTATTATTTACACAATGTTCTGCCTGCATGTGTGACTGTGCGCCAGAAGGGGGCACCAGATCTCACTATACATGGTTGTGAGCCACCATGTGGTTGCTGGGAATTGAACTCAGGACCTTTGGAAGCACAGTCAGTGCTCTTAACCTCTGAGCCATCTCTCCAGCCGAGAAACATCTTTTTTGCTGTGAGCAGCTGTTAGTGAAACACTTATAACTGGTCAAAGCGGTGGGAATAAGTAACTTCAATGCTCAGCCTAAATGGGACAATGATATCCAGGCCCACTCCTGAGGCTCAGGGAGAGCATCAAAGAAGGGGCGGTAGAATTCAGAACGGAAGGATGGGAGAGATGCCGTGAAAACCTCCTTCTGCACATAAGATGTCTGTTACACTCGTGAACTCACTGCAGCTGTGGTCACTTTCCCATCAACACCCCATCAATGGGCGGTGCACATGAGGGCCCCCTCTTAGCTAGGAGCACTTGACACGGAATGGTTACCTAGGGGGCAGGGAGGGGCTATCATTTTTCTTCAGGAGTGTAGCTACTGGAATGTTGTCCATGATGCACGAGGAGGAGGTGAGGAGAGAGGAAGCACAATGACAAAAAAAACAGAGCCACCAGGTGGCACAAATCTTTAATCCTACTTCTAAGGAGGCTGTGGCAGGAGTATCTCTGAGAGTTTGAATGCCAGACTGGTCTACCTGAGGCGCTCAAGGACAGCCAGGACTACATGCATAGAGACCCTGTCTCAAAAAAATTTTTTTAATTTTTTTACATATATTTTCTCTCTCTCTCTCTCTCTCTCTCTCTCTCTCTCTCTCTCTCTCTCTGAAAGTAGACGAAGCCTTCAGCTTCAGATCCTCCAGCTTCCTGAGTGCTGTGGTTGTAGGTTCGGTGCCACCAGGCAAGACTCGAAGGTATGGGCTGGGAAGGGGTCCAGTGCGCGAAACCAAGAGGAAGGTAAGAAGGGAAATGGAGATGAATTTGATCCAAATACATTAAAGCATGTGTGAGGTTGTCAAAGAGTACGTCAAAATTATTTTTAATAAAACCCTATTCTTGAGCTCAGGAAAACGCTCATCAGCGTAGAGGCCAAAGGTGAACAAAAGCGGGGGTGGGGTTCAGAGACACCAACCCAGCCTGTCCCCGACACAGGATCTGCTTTCTTCTAGAGCCGCTCCTGGCGCTCAGTGAATCTGAAGTGCGTAGAGGTAGGTGCGTGAGGAGGTCCCAGGCCAGGCGTGGGGTCACTGCGCGCTCAGCGGCTCCACCCGCAGCCACAGCCCGCCCTCTGCGCGCAGGATCAGCTCCGGCTTTCGGCGCGGCTCCTTGTCGTCCGGCAGGACGCGGAAGCGCAGCAGCGTCAGCGCCAGCGCCACCTTCATCTCGCTCATGGCGAAAGTCTGTCCTATGCAGTTCCTGCGGGAGGACGGGGTGAGGATTCTGACTGTGCCCGGATCCAGACAAGCGTCCTCGGACCCAACCTGACAGGGTCCCCACCGGGCCTGGTCAGCATGAGGGGCAGGAGGGACGAGGACACGCCTGGGACGCCGCTTGGTTATCCGCATCTCTGGAGCCTGGCGGACCAGGACAGGGCTCTGAGAATAGTCCGCCCTTCACCTTCCAACGCCAAGCTCTCCTGGCCTTTAGCATACCCTGTGCAGAGCCGGGAAGGTGACCCAAAACCCGAGCATCCCAACCCGGGACCTCTAGATCCCCTGGATTCCCCAGCCAGACCCAGATCCCACCTCCTCACCCCAAGCCCTCTCGTCTTACCTAGACCCGGCAGAAAAAGGAATAAAAGCTAGAGGTGGCCTCTTCTGCGGGTTTTCAGGGTCAAAGCGGAAGGGGTCATAGACCTGCAAGCCAAGCAAAACGAAACTGGTAGGTCCCTCCAGCTCAGAAAAGACATAAGCAGATTCAGAAAAATGACAGATTCTGAGTTCCAAGTAGGAACCTTGCCCCTTTCCCAGGTCCTAGAGATGAAGAGAGGAGCCTCACCTCAGGGTCCGGCCAGACTGAAGGATTGTGATGAACTCCGAAAATGCTGACGACACATGTGCTGCCTTTTGGGGAGGAGTGGACAGTAAGTGCCAGATCCGCGCTACCACCATCCTACCCAGGGGCCTCCTCCCATCGTGTGTGGGCACCTTTGGGGATGACTCGGCCATCAGGCAGCACAATGTCCTTAGTGCAGCGGCGGACCAGGTCTGTAGCAGGAGGATGCAGCCGCAGACTCTCCTTGATGCACATGGTCAGGAAGGGCAGACGGGCCAGGTCGTCCCTAAGGAACACACCACACGATTATCCAGGAGCCAAACCCATCACCTTCTTCAGTCTTTTGAAAAATTGCACTCCAAATGAATTAAAGTCTCAAGCAATGGAACTCCTGATCCTTGGGATGCCTCTGATCTGTAAGGCCCTTGCCCATGCACAGAGACTTCCTGAAGCGCCAGAGGCTATTGTTTATGGGAGACAGCAAGACCCAACTACAAGGATGTGCTTGATCAAATGGAGGCAGGAGGTACTAGGCAGGATAGATGTTTGCCCCTCATAGGACCTGATGGGGAATGTGGTGAATTGAGGGCTTTGCCTTTTTAAACACCTGCAAACTGCAACTCAGGACCATTTTGTGGAAACCCAAAGATGGACATAGCCACAGTCCACCAACCTGGCCAGGATTTAGTTAAAGCTTTCTTCAGTTTTTGCTTTAACTTGTGGTAATTAATGGTCTCATTCTCAGCCTATAGGATTAACCCCTCTATCTTCCAATTTCTGAAGTTTCAGAGATCAGCTACCAAGAATGGCTCTAGATTGAAACTTAAGCCTTAAAAATGAAAATCACAAAATTACCAGAAGAAAGCTTAACCTGGCATTAGACATATTTATAAGGAAACCACACCTCTCAAAAGATCTCTTTAAATGCTTCCATACATTCAAAATGAAAAATCTTTAAAAACTTAGTGACCTGAGTGAGGAGGCGTTCAGGCCTCATGAGTGTAGGCAGGAGGATCAGGAGTTAAGGCCACCTTAGGCTACAAGAAATGCTGTGTCCTGGGCTGGTGAAACAGCTCAGATGGTAAAGGGACCTACCGTCAAGCTTGATTACATAAATTCAATCCCCAGGACACATATGGTGTAAAAAAGAGAACTGACTGCAGCCTACTTGGTTGCCACACACACACACACACACACACACACACTGAACTTAATTTAAATTTGTAAAAGAAAAAAATCCATAAAGTATTCTGTGGTGGTTTGAATGAGAATGGCCCCCATAGACTCATATCTTTGTATGCTTAGTCCCCAATTGGTCACTATTTGGGAAGCAGTAGGAGGCGTAGCCTTGTTGGAGGAGGCGTGGCCTCGGAGGAGGTGTGTCACTGCGGGTGGGCTCTGAGGTTTCGAAAGTCCACATCAGGCCCACTTTCAGTCTCTCCGTCTCTCTCCCTCTGCCTGCCACCTGTAGATCAAGATGTAGCTCTCAGCTACTTCTCCAGCACCATACCTGCCTGCCAACATGCTTCCCACCATAATGATAATGGACTCACCCTCTGAGGCTGTAAGCAAGCCCCTAAGTAAAGGCTTTCTGTTATATGTTGCTTTGCTCATGGTGTCTCTTCATAGCAGTAGAACCCTAACTTAGACATGTTCATACTTAGATGAACTCCATATTAGAGGCCACTGTGATTAACATCTTGCCAGAATCGTTTGCTTTCTAGAATTTGTTGGCATTTTCTTAGACGCATAAGTATTTTGACCATGTTCATCCTCCACTCCCCCACCCTCTTTGGCCCCCTTTTACCAACTCTTTCCCTTCCTGATGAACACCCTCTCTATTTAAAACTCTACCAATTTCCCAAGTCTCTCTCTCTCTTTTTTTTTTCTTTTTGTGTAGGAACTTGATAGTCTTTCTTTCTCAGCACTGGGCATCACAGAGCCTGCACACTAAGCAAGTACCCACAACTGAATTGTCTGTACCCAAGAACCTTATTCTAATTGGAAGAGTTAAAGTTTACAAAGATAAGTCAACCTAAAAATAAAAGAGGGAGCCAGGCATGGTGGTGCATACTTGGAATCCCAGCACTCTGGAGCCAGAGGCAGGTGGATTTCTGAACTGGAGAACAGTCTGTTCTACATAATAAGTTGCAAGCCAGCTAGGGCTACACAGTGTGATTCTGCCTCAAAAAAAAAAAGTTTTTTAAAGAAAAGAAAGAGCCCACCCATCATTTACTAAAACCTATTGCAAAACTATAGTAGTAAAAATGAAAACAACTTTTTAAAACTGTTACTGCATGACAGGAGCATGAAAAGTGGAATCCAAGGGAGGAGGCATGCAACTATCTGAAAACACGGCACATGCTGGAGACAGTCCACACGCTGCTGGGATGTGCATAGATAGGTTAGAGGAGGGCTTCAGAAAATGAACAATAAGCAAACAAAAAGTGCTAAATTAAGCAGGTGTGGAATCGCAGCTCTGAGGAGGGGGAGGGAGGAGGATTTGAAAGTCAAGGCTAGTCTCAGCTACACAGCAAGTTGGGAACCACCACAACAGTGACAAGCTGTCTAAAAAAAAAGGAAAAACAAAAATGCTTGTCTCATCCACATATAAGGCAGATTCCTCCCTACATCTAAAACACTAAACCTTCAAAGTTAATCAGCTTATCTGTCACTTCAGAGATTTGTCATTTCCTTAGGGTGACAATATTCAGAATTTTTGGTTACTTTAAACTGCTGATGCTGCTCTGCACAGCGCAGAACAAAAGCGTTCCTCCTACAACTCTACCAATTTCCCAAGTCTCCACTGGACCAATCCCTTCCCAGATGCTTTCCCAGGGAAAGCAACATTTTTATGACCTAGCGCTATGAATGTTTCAAAGTCTAAGAGTAGAAAGTGTAAGAACAAATAATGAAGGGATAAATATACATGAAAAATAACTTCTGTATATTAAGAGGTCATGGACCAAATTAGAATTCATGTGAGAGAGTCAGTGATATCTACAATTGTGGTATGTGTGTGAATGTGTGTGTGAGATTATGTATACACACACACATACACATATACTTCAAAGAATTGTTACAAATCACCAAGCAAATGACATGTGACCCAAAGGTTATATTCTAGGATTTCAATGAGGTCAAACACAAAAAGTTAAAAGAAGAGATGTCAATGAATGTAAATCAAAGGCAAGCGGTGGAAGGACAAAAAGAGGTCACAGGGATGATGCTGGAGATGGGGATGAGAATCAAGAAAGAGAAATTAGGCTTGAAAGGTCATGATGACCCCTAATGCACTGGATGCTAATTGACTACATGGATACATGTCCAAACTGGGTCTATAAACCGTGGATGCTGAGGCATTAAGATACTGACTTCCAGGCCAGCCTGTGCTACATATATAAACTCTGTATCAAAAAAATAATAATAATCAAAAGTAAGCTGGGTGCTGTGGCACTTGCCTGTCATCCCAGGAATTGGGTAGGCAGAGGCATGCGGATTCTGTGAATTCAAGGCCAGCCTGCTCTACAAAGGGAGTCTGGGACAGCCAGGGCTACAGAAAGAAACCCTGTCTCAAAAAAAAGAAGAAGAAAGAAAGGAAGGAAGGAAGGAAGGAAGGAAGGAAGGAAGGAAGGAAGGAAGGAAGGAAGGAAAATTGAAAGTAGCACCCCGCAAGTGGCTCACAGCTATAACAGCAGCAGAAATCACAAGGTACCGTGCTCACCATTCAACCTCCTCAGGCTCGCGGTCCCTCAGGAGCTCCCGCACCTCCCGCCGGCAGCGCTCCTGGTATTCTGGGTGCCTCGCCAGGTTGTACAGGATCCAGGAGAGCGCACTGGCGGTGGTGTCATGGCCTGCAGGCAGAGAAGCAAACATGGATCTCTGGCCACCTCAGAGCACCACAATGTAGGAGTACACAGGTATTAAAGCTCCAGGGAGAACAGGAAGTGATGGATAGGTAGACAGAAATACCGGATGAAAAGAACCAGGAGAAGAGTGTCTGAAACTGCAGCAGATTCACAAGAAACCAAGGCCCTGGGATTGACTGAGCCCTGTCTCCTCCGTGGCCTCACAGGGACCCTCACCTCCAAACATGAAAGTGTCAGCCTCTGCTCGGATGTCCTTGTCCGACAGCTCCTTTCCATGTTCATCCTGGAGACATGAAACCCTCAATTCGTGCCACTCAAAGGGCTCCTGACCCTGACCTGACACAGCCCTGATAGCCACTGTGTGCATAGGACTCTGTCTTGCTGTCCCTCCCCCAGCCCCCAGAGCCTGCCCCACACTGTCCTTCTCGGTTTCCTGCTGTTGCTGGCTGCTTCCAAACAGCGTTCAATAGACACACTTCTGTTAAACTTCTTTCTCACCTGTCCTTCACTTTACAAGTACCACCCAAGGCTCTTTGGCATCCTCTTGATTGAATATTTAGTCCTCTTGACTGAACATGAAGGTTCCAGTAACCTAGTTCCCACATATGCTCACCTTGGCCAGCAAGAGCACATCGATGAAGTCCAAAGTCTTAGACCTAGCCTTGGACTTCAGGAACTCATCAGCACTTTGGCTGGAGAGAGTGCGGCGTCTCTCCCTGATGACAGCATCTGTGAAGTTGTGCACCAGGTCACAGGCCTTGCGGAAGCGTCGCCCATCAGCAGTGAGGTAGTACAGGAAGTCCACATACAGGAAGAGCTGCTGGTACTTTTTTGCTACCAGAGCGCTGAGTTCCAAGATGGCAGCAATGTATTCACTGGGAGACCTGCAGGGCAGGCCAGAGAGAGGAAGCAACTTAGCACACAGAAACCCCAGAGAAACTCCAGCCAGAGTCCCAGGACCAGGATCCATCCAGAAAAGGCATACACGATTGGTTCTCTGTTTCCTGCTCCCCACAAGTAGTCCCTGACCCAGGATCCCAGGGCATATGTGGTCATCATTTCTTCACCCTTGGTTTCCTGTGACTCTGCCCAGGCTCAGACCCTCCCTCCAGGTTCCCTGCAGCCTGTATCTCTGTGAAGCTCCTGTGTTGATTAGAATGCCCAAACTCACTGTGACTAGGACTTCCCCCGGTACAGACACCTTCTCTCATGCTCTGGGAAACTCAGGCTGGAGTGCACACCCTTCTGGCTGTGCAGTCAACATCTTTGTTTATTTGTTTGTTTGCTTAGATTTTTAAGACTGGTTTTCTCTGTGTAGTCTTTACTATCATGGAACTCACTCTATACACCAGGCTGGCCTCAAACTCACAGAAATCCACCTGCCTCTCCTTCCCAAGTGCTGGGATTAAAGGAATGTACCACCATACATCTTTAAGATCTGGCCAGTAGCTGGAAATGGTAGCTCCTGGACTGTGATCCCAACACTTAGGAGGTGGATACGGGAGGATCAGAAGCTCAA